ACCGCCATTTCGGGGGAGCCACTTTTTTGACACATGAATAGCGCCGGCATTTTGAGCGGCAAGGTACTGGCAACAGAAGGAGCTCTTCGCGCGAAGAAGCACCTTGAAAGCAAATCAACCTGACATGACCTCGTGGCTTCCCCCAAAAGGGGCAATTTGGCTGCGCACGTTGTCGGGCTGGGTAGGATCATTCGGGGTTGGTTTAGGGTGGATTCGGGGGTTTAAGGTGGCCATTTGCCCCATTTTGCACAGGATCTGAATCCCCACCACCTTATTGAGGCCTTATTTGGAAACCAGGGAAAGAGTTGGGGGGCAGGTCTGCAATATCATTTCCCAGGCTTTTGATTGCTGAGGAACTCCTCACCTCCGCTTACGCTTTGCCCAGCTGGATCTGGCTGCAACTCAGCACCCGGCTGCATCGCTCATGTTTGCCATCCATCCAGAGTGCACGGTGAACCGGGAGATGCTTGGCAAACCCCTCGCTGCTCGCTTTTTGCTAGGAGGGGTGGGCACCTTTGACATCAACTTGCTTTTTGCCAGGAAATCCGCTGCAGACCTAGGTTTCGCTTAGGCTTTGTCATCGCCTTTTTCAGATAGAAAATTATGGCAGCCGTTTGCTGCAGGCTCCGTGCCAACGAGGAAGGCCGGAGCGTCCTTGTTTCTTGCTGTTGGGCTGCCTTTAAGCCTTACTTGTGGTGCCATTTTGTAAGTATGGGGTCAGCTTTAAGCTTCCATTTGCTTAAGCCCCAGTCGTTGTTTTTCTTTGTTGGTATTAAAACGAAGCTACGACTACTGGAAATATGTTTTTTTTGCAGAGGACTTGAGCAAAGCTGAATTCCCTTGGGCCTTCGGCAGGGAGAATTGGTGAGCCCTTTGTGCCAGACTTGGGCCACGCTCGGCCAAGGATGTGGCGGCGGATTTTGGGCAACATCATCTCTGCCACGCAGGGCCTTTGCGTCGCTTGGCCCAAAGCTGCGGAAGTTGAACAGCTGTTTTATGTTAGCTCGCGCCGGTCCCATTGTTTGAATAATTCTTCCGTGTTTGTTCGTTCAGAAGCTGCTCATGTTGGATCGAGCCGTAGGAAAGTGGTCAAAACCGGATCCCACCAACAAAGGTCCAAAGCAGAAGTACCATCAATCATACCCTGGGGGGGGATGAAGTTTTTGTCGATGGCCTCGCTTTGAATTCAAAGGAATTCAAAGCGAGGGGCGAGGTCGTGGCAACTTTCGCAGAGGATGAAGCCAAGGCACGCGCTTTGGGCGTCGTGTCGTTGCCTAGTGTATGGCGAGCCCTTGAATCATGTTTGGACATGCTGAGAACTTGCAGATGGTTGCTTTACATGTTGTTCCTTTCAGGAAGCAAGGTCCATGAAGTTTGTCATTGCGCTTTGATATGCAAGTTCAACTGGGGAGTCGAGTCATGTTTTTGCCTGGAAAGGAGCTGCCATGCTGCCTGCGCAGCTGTTTTCACTGTTTTTTGTTGTGTTTTACACGGTTGCAAGCATGGTTTCCTGCACAGTTAGTTCCCCAAATGTGAATTACGCGGATGTTTGAACTGATATTTGTTTGTGTGAGCTGAGCAGAAGCCAAGATAGAAGGCACCGTCAAAGCTCAAGTTGGTTCTAGGGGGACCCAGGTTCCCTATGTTTGGTGTTTCTCCACCACAAAAAGGTGTCGGACATGCCGGACATGGTGAGTTTTTTGAACCCTTCCCCTGAGGGCGTTCCATTGCGGGCTATAGAAAAGAGGCTTCGCTGACTTCGCTTCAGGTGGTGGCCGATGTGGGCCACAGCCTGCAGCGGCGCTGCCAGATTCACTTGAATCCCTTCTACGGCCCAGGCGCGAGCAATTCGATTGAAATCGAGGCGACTGCTTGGAAGTCGGTTGGAATGACCCCTTTTTTGAAGGGGGGTTCCTTCGGAATCGGGTGCCACAGGCAGGATGCCTTGCTTTTTAATGGGACCCCAGTTGCTTGTGCGATCCAAGAATGTTGAGCTTCTAGATATAGGCATAGGCTTGAGTGGACGGTTTGAGAATACCAACAAGAGAGCGGCCGTTGTTCTCGTTTCTTGGGTTAGGGAAGATTTGGTCCAGAGGAAACTCATCTTCCAGGTACCCTCCCACAGGTGCTATGTTTATGGGAGGAAGGGAATCTCTGGAGTCTGGAGTAGAAATGGCTTGCAAAGCAGCTATACAAGCTGGTTGAGGGCGATGCCTATCTTCCCCTCCGAGTGGCACAAGCCTGACTTGAAGTCGGGGCAAGCAACTGCCAACATTGCTGACAAAAATGATATGTTGTTGTTGTTGTTGCTTGCGCGTTTTGCTTGCGTTGGGGCCTCAGTCAAGGTACGTTCAGCGTTGACGATATGAGTCGCAGACTTACCATTTGTAGTCTGTTGGCTTAGGAGGACGGGAAAGGAGGGCAGGCCCCAATGGAGCACTCAAATCAGGCAGATCCTTCCAGACCTCTGCCCGTGAGTCGGGTCTGAGGTTGCACTGCACCTCCGCCGCCCTCTATGAAATACATCGTGCTGGTGGCGAAGTGACATGACGTCCCGATGTCCAATGGCGCCAACGCCAGGAAGTGCCGGAAGTTCGCCAAAAACAATTCGGCGTTGCCAGCTTCCTGTGGGAGTGTCCTTCAATTTTCTGAGAAAGTTGGCGTCAGACCGCTTTGCCAAAACGGCGACTCGAGGGGATGTCGGTCCTGATAAAGCCCGACACATACGCCTTCGAGAAGGTCACATAACTTATGCCATATCCATCCGATGCTCAAATAACTTGCGACACATCACAATACCATTATATACTTGGCTTCCCTTAAATGCATTGCTGCAAGTCGAGGCACGACCTGTTTCTTTCAGATTGCATGGCACAGGTCACCAGCCGCTTGAAAACATCCTGTAACTCACCTTGGCAGTATCTGTGCACGTGCTTGGGCACTGTGCACGCAAGGTTGCTGATATGGAGTCTGCCGCTGGTGAAAAGACATACTCAAGGAAGCAGCCACAGCCGCAGGTGTTTCGCTGCCAGCTTGGAACAACTGTTTCAAGATCAGTTGAATGGCAACCAAGCAGTCCAGGCGTGTTTTTGGCCAATCCACTTCGGACGCAAATTGTGCTACTCCAGTCAAGTGCAGAAACGCCATCGTGTTAGAGTATCAGGTAAACAGGCTGAACAAAAAGGAGGCCTTTGTCCTGGTGCCAAGTGAAGAAACCGCATCTCAAAGGGCCAGGGAAACTCAGGGCGCCAGTTTTGGGTGACCCACACGAAGCGCACAGCCAACCCCGACTGGTTTTTTCGCAACAGCCCACCCTTCCGTCGTTTTTGTTTTGTGTCGCATGCCAACGGATACCTCCGCTATGGCGTGGGCATGGCCGTCTTCCGGCCTCAGGCCGGGGGCGGCCAGGGGCGGGGTATCGGCCTTGGGGTTTGGGTTGTTAAGGTTCGGCTGGCTGTAGATGGAGTGGTTTTAACCAGCTGACTTACAGATCCTGTCGAGGAGGGGATGATGTAAGTCCTTCAATGGGGAGCCAAAGGGCTCTATAGGATCCTCTAGGGGGTATCTCCGGAACTCGGCCTCCAACAGCAACGCCAGCGGGGCCAGCCGAGGTTTTGGGACTTTTGCCCAGTTCAGCAGGCTTTCTTCTCGCAGGTCAATGACGGACGGGATCAACAAAACAGGGTTCCCTTTTTCTTCCAGGGTCACTGGACATTTCTGGTTTTGCCATCTCAGCTTTAGGTCCCAGAAGCTGAAACCTTGCTTTCCTTAGGGCAAGTGAGTGGACGATCCACAGATGCACGACAGACGGCATGGAAGATCTCTGAGGAATATCTACCGCACATCCACCTGCAGAAAATGGCCATGCCAAACTTGTGAGTGCCCCAGCGGATACTGTCCACACGGGTTCCCAAGTCCTTCGCTTGAAGGGTCGCGAGGGTTGACCTGTCTCTCAACCGCAGGTCCGCGGACCGTGGCTCCTCAGCCTGAGTCTTGGCGCAACGTCCAGTTGGCGCGCCAACACTTTGTGTGACCTTGTTCCACCATCCGATGTACACCTTTACAAGTTTTGGGTATCACCAAAAGTCCACGGCTTTGGACGCTGCTCACTTGGCTTGAGACTTGGAGGGAGCCCATTAAGCGGAACAATGGGTCCAAGGGTCTCAAAGGGAATTTCCTCTAAATACTCTCGTGACTGGCTGTGCCGCGCTCGATTTGTTCACAGACACGCTTCTGGCGCCAGATGTTGTCACTAAGGATCATCCTGGCATTTGGCAGCACTTGTGACGAGGCTCGTCACTTGCAAGTGTCGGGGATGTGCAGCAGTAATCCCGTCTTGCGTTTTGTAGACGGACCCCCAAATAATACAATTTAATACAACCCCCCCCCCCTCCAGCCGACCCCAAGATGTGCCAATCCTAATTTTAAATTACCCAATGCTAAACCAAAACTAAACTCTCTGGAAACCAGATGAACTCAGCCAAGCTCCCTAGAACCTGAGCGGGAGAGGATTTTATCATTAGGGTCCTCACTAGGTTCCCTTCGTAAAATCTTTCTCAAAAGTTGTATTCTGAGCGCTTCTTCCTTTCAATCCAACGGGTTGCCTTGCTTGAGAGGTTTTTGCCATTAGGGTCTCCATTAGGTTCCCGCCGTTACTTGGAACATGTTTTTTGCAAATCGAATGGGTCCCTTCCCTTCAAAAGTTCTTACTCTAAAATTGTGTTTGAGCGCTTTTTGTGCAAATCAAAGGGGTCTCACTTTCCCAATTGGAACCCACCCTTTTCTAAGCAACTCAATCTTAAGCAGTTCTGACAAAAAACCGGGGGACCCCAAGAATAGAAACCCTCCGAGGTTTTTTTAGACGGGGGGGTTATTGTTTGGGAGAGGTGATGAATCTCCTTTCGGCCAAACCTCCAAATATATATATATATATACATACACTTGCGCTAAAGACCCCTTAAGCGTGCCCTGCTCACGCGTTGAGACGGATGGCGTCTCAGGCAACGGAGACATGTGCTGCGACGAGGCAATCGCAACTTTGCTTCATGACATTCAGCTCACATCGAAGCTAGTTAACTTGCTCAGTGCAGCCACAGGAACGGTGTGTCCCTTTCAGCCAGTCGAATTGTGACTAATAGACGCTAAAGGTCGCCAGAAAGCCAGTAGTCATGCGAGTGAGGCTTGTATGGGCTCCCTGGCGCAAAAGAATGGCTCTGGACGGATTCGTCAGTATCTCTCTCGCCTTCGGTGGCTGCAGGAATTGTGGGCCAAATGGCGGGTAACATGTTGGATAGCTTACGCTTGATTTTCAGGGTGCTAGAAAGAGAGCTCCAAGCCAGGTATAGTTCGCAGTTTTGAACTGGTGGGTGGATGTCAGTCACAAGCCACTTTTAAGGGTGTTCCACATGAAACAGCGTAGCCAGGCTTCGAGAATGTAACATCTTTGGTTGGCCGAACCAGTACCCTTTAGAGTCATGTGGCCGTGAGTGCACGTTGCTGATGGCCAAGCGAGTAAAATCAAATCAGATGACTATGGTACAGAATGCTTGGAGAGCACCCGTCTTGGAATTTGATTCAGGACCTCAGAGGAGAATTGAACATGAGCCGATCCATGGGATTTGAAGGTCTCTGGTTTGACAGGGCGACATGTTTGTGCACGTGCTTCCTCATTTGTGATTTTCTGAGTGGAAACGAGATGAATCCAGCCATTGATTCATTTATCCATTCATGTCATGTCATTGCGTTGCATTTCATTCCATTTCATTCCGTTTCATTCCATTTCATTCCATTCCATTTCATTCCATTCCTTTCCATTCCATTTCATTCCATTCCTTTCCTTAGTTCATTCATTCATTCATTCATTCATTCATTCATTCATTCATTCATTCATTCATTCATTCGTTCAAAGCTACAAAGAGGCATCTTGATTCACTGCATGCTTTTCGTAATTCTCGGTTTAGACACTCAATCCTTTAGTACACCCGCTGATTCATGTCCCGTAGAGGGAGCCATTCACCGCGCGTCGCGAGCGACTCGGACCCGAGGTGCGGAGGCCGCAGCATCGTCCTGGGGGCGGGGCTGGCGGGGCTTGTGGCTGCCCAGACCTTGCGCCGCGCCGGGTGTCGGGGCCCCAGAGCCCAGCTTGGGGGAGACGGGCAGTGGGGAGGGAGGTGTGAAACCCAGCTCGCCCATCCAGTTCCAGTCCGAGACTTACACTTGTGTTGTTGCTTGGCTTCGAATAAAGCGCCACTTCCGCGAATGAAAGGCGGTGTTTCGAGAAAGAAGAGGCGTTTGGAAGTTTGGCAACATCATGGAACCAGTGCAACGGTCCGCGCGTTCTATTTTCAGGACGAGCCAAGCCGCTCCCCCTTGCGCCTAAGCGATTTGCTTGCTTGCCGTCAACCATCACCTTTTGGAAAGGCCAATTCAAAGTCCAAAGTAAGTTTCGTTTTACTGGTAAATAATTGTTCGAGGAGCCTGTTTGTTGAAGGACTACCTACAAGGTCCATGCTTGCCTAAAGGCCAAACTGGAGGGCGGGCTGATATTGATAGGTCGGAAATGTTCACCCCGGATGCGATTGTCGGGGGGGGGGTGTTTCCCAAGTAAAGGATGCCCTCAATGACACAGCCACAATATCACTCAACCAGGCGTTCCTTAATTTCACCCCCCAAATTTTCTTCAATGTCCAACGGTTTTTTTTTTCCGGTTCTTCGTGTGGTTCAGATCTGTGGCAGCCCCTGGGTGCCTCGCACGCGTCTCGCCTCGCGAGGCGAGGTGGTGGTGCTGGAGGCGCAGCCAGAGCTGGGCGGCCGCGCCAAGGCGCTGCCCACTGGGCCCTTCCGCGGCCTGCCCAAAGGCGGGGGCCCAGGGCTTCCAGGTCCACGGCGCTGAGAAGTGGGGAGACCCCCAAGACTGGGTGCCCCGCGGAAAATTGGCCAAAGGAGGTCGCTGGGGTTGTCCTTTGGGACTTCATTTGAAATCGATCGAAAGGGGGAGCACTCCGCCCAGAAAAGACACCTGGAGGGTTTGGACATCATTTGTGGTGGCCAATCGAACGTGATCTTTGATCTGTGGCTCCCCGCGAACCAGCAACAAGTAAAGCTTTCGTTGCAGACAATAGCCAGGAAGCATTGGCCATGCAGGCCGTTTCCACAATATTGTTTGCCAAGCTGTTTGGTCCCGCTAGCTGGTTTCATGTGGAAAACACCTGCAGACTAATACAATGTAAACCTTGCAGAACCCCCGCCCCCCTCCCCCCAACAAGTGTTTTTCCCATGTCCAAGATCCTAAGTACTGTCCAATCAAGAAGTGATTAGGAGATGCCAAGAATGTCAACTTTGGATTTTGGACATAACGCGTTGTCCTTTTGGAGCCCACTTGAGCCAACCTTTGAATAGCTTTCTTCTTGCCTTCCCCAAAAAACAGTGACCCTTAAACAACGCGTAGGCCCACCTGAGGAGAGCACAGGGAAAAATGTGAGCCACGATCAAAACTCGGGTAGATGAAGCTTAACAAGGAATATACAGTCCCAACCATAAATGGGTGCAGCCGCTTTTTCACTTGTTTACATGGTTCTGCGTAGGCTATGTTAATACCAGGTGTTGATCATGACTCATGTTGTGAGTCGGGGTTTGGCCGAGTTCTTTGTTGCCAGGGGCTCAGTGGATCCATGGCGGCGAGCCTTGGATGAGTCCAGTCGTCTTGGGTGAGCCATGGGTTCGAGCAAAAATCCGCCGGAATGGGACGCTATCTTTGCACATTCTTGTGTTTTTTCCCTCGGATGAAACGCAGCAGAACGCAACAGTTGCAAGATGCAATGCTTCCCCCCCCCCCCCCAGTACTTCCAGCAAGGCGGCCGCGTCGACCGTTTAAGAACAGTGCGGGAGTGAAAGATCTTCCCGAGAGGTCCCTTCATTGCCTTTCAAAACAAGCACGCAGCCAGGAAGCTCCTAAATGTGAGCGCGTCTTTTTTGGGAAAGCCTCGCATGGCTGGTTTTAAAAGAACATCAACATGAACCTGACCATGTTGGGAGGTCCCCACCTTTCAAGCTTGACTTGATTTTTCCCCTGGCGCCATGCACTTGGTTTTAGACAAGTAGTGCTTGAACCAGTGGTGGATTGGACATGGGTTTCAAAAGTCAAACTCGGACGCAAGGAGCCGCGCGTCGAGTTTGCCGTGGCACAGTTTTGTCCATTCGTTCCAGAGCCAACAGTGGTTGGCAACGCGAAACGAGGTGAAATGGAGTGGTAACCGAAGCAACCAAAAAGCATCCGAAGCGCACTTTCCTTTCAGCCATTTGCTCCGAAACATGAAATTGTTGGGGTTCTTTGGCTTGAAGCTCGTGTTTTTTGGCAAGCCCGTTCCAACAAACCTTCGGGGCTGGCACGTGACACGTGAACCGAATGAACCCAGAAGTGTCTGAGGAGAGGAATTTGCCAATGATGGCCCTGCTGCATTTCTACAACCTGTCCTACACCCGAGTGGGCGGCAACACAGACTTCGAAGGCCTGGGCGGCCTGGGCATCCCCGTGTTTATGTTGAGGGCACCCCGGTCGGTTTAGAGGGAAGCCAAAAGGGAAACCATCACTTGAGGGCTCCCCGTGGTTTGACGCTTACCCTTGAGCAAGCTGGTTCAAACAGCCCCATTTGGTTTGCGATTTGAAGTGAGCTTCTATTGGGTGGGGTGATGTGTTAAGTGGCAAGTGCAGGGAACATGATGCTTCCCCAAGCACATTCTCTTGACGTGACTGGGCGGTTCCAGCCATACCCTTAGACTTCAAAGACTTTTAGGGCCTCTCAAAGTTTAACTTTTAGCAAGGGATGAGCGAGCCGCTAAGGGGCAGTAGGCTTTGAAGGTCCTTTCAGAAAGCCGAGGTGATGATGAGCGCCATCATCTCATCCACCATGGCCTGAATGCCTCCTTGAAAGCCGAGGCGAGGCTTTTGCTGCTTTTGGATTTCATGATTTAGTCATGGTATCAAAAACAGGGTTTTACACTTTCCACCATGTTGGAACCCTTTCCCTTCCCAGAACACATGGTTTGGCGCGCAGACAAGTTCCGGAACGCTAGCTTCCTGGACAGGGTGCCGCCGGACTTCCATCGTTGTTGGTAGGAGTGTAGCTGGGAGCAATCTATTTACAAGTGACCGGGCTTTCCTCGCTTGTTGTGCTGACATGTGGGGTCAATTTGGTTGCTGCGTGTTGGCTGCAAAACACGTGGATTCTGCTCTTGCTTCCCTTTACACTACCTCGAAATGCTGGGCATCTTCACAATCACTCAGTTGTCCGCTGCCAACCTTTTGGCCTTCCTTGCCGGTGGTGGTCCATGCCTTTTGTGGCCCAAAACCCGCGAACCCCCGCGGAAGAGGCGCCGCTTCGGCGCCGGAGGCCTTCCGCCTCTTCGGCGCCGCCCACGCGCGCTTCGAGCGCGAGGCGCTGCGGCGTCTGGCGGGCGGCCGGGACGTCTCGGTGCGTGGCTCGACGGGGTGGGAAGAGATGGGCAGTCCGGGGACTTGGTCCGTGGGTGGCGTGTGGACCCTTCTGACTGACAAACAAGAATTGGCGGCCTGAGGGCCCTCGGGAAAACTGAATTTCAGGGGTTGGAGCTAGCCTCAAAGTGGCTGGTGGACGTGAATCCACACCTGAATGGTATGGGTGTGGCTCGTGTTTTTGCTGGTTATTATGGGAAGCAGCAAGGAAACCATGATTTTGGGGGACACTTGCATATGCCAGAAGCTCGCTTAGGCATTTACTTTGACAATGTCAATTGAAGAGGCGCAGGAAAAGGAATCAGCTAGTTTTCGGCTTCTTCTTCAGTGAAACGACCTTGGCACAAAGCTTTTGTGGAGCGGTCACTGTTTTGAGGTTCGGAGAAAAATTCGCCTGAAAAGACGACCTGCGCAGACTCAAGACACCTCACTCGCCCAAAGCGAATCGACGCGAAGCGACCTTTGGTTTTCCCTTTTGGGTTCGCATGTTTAGTCATACCCCCAAAAGGCTATCCTTTTATTGCTTTGCCCTTAGTTGAGCAGCTGAGCCGGTCGTTCCACAAGACCTTCAACCAAGATGGGCTTACAAATACTCAACTCCCCAGTTTCTGAAATTTGCATACTGGCGACAGTTGGCTTTCTGAACATGTGGAAGCTGTTCTGTCATGTTGTGCTTTGCCCTGCTGGTTACGTTGGCGGGGATGTCAAATGTTTTGATTGCTTTGAATGCTCAATTTCCACTCACAGCTTTCATATTTTTGGTGACGCATGGGCAGGTTAAAGTCATTCGCTCGGGACTTGTGATTGGTGGAGCCGAGCTTGAAATATCGACACCTCACCCTCTTCTCGTTCAGATTCCTGGGGTCAACCGCAAGCACCAATGCACCACTAAGAACAAAACACAGTCTGCCACGGCATTTTCAAGAAAGCGCAATGGAAGACCGAAGCGAGTCCGGCAGATTGGAACGTGGCATTTGTGGCATCCCCCTGCAGAAAATATGTGGGGTGCGGCTTTGTCAGGAGTGTGTGTGTGTGTGTGCGGAGTGGCAGAATACCCTGCCACCATACAATCCTTTTTTTCACGACAGCAGGGGGCTGGAGCCGGCCCGGAGGGTCTCCAGCCAACGAAGACGCCCCCCGGTGCCCGGGTCCAAACGTACCTGCGCGGCTGCGCCTGGGCCATTGTCATGGCAGCTGGCGGGCCCACCCCAAACAAAGGTCCCCTTTTTGCCCTTTTCTCCAAAACCAGCTGAACCCCAGCTGTACTCGAGACTCACCAGCTGTACTCGAACGATGAGAGACTCATCAGTTGTACTCGAGACTCATCAGTTGTACTCGAGACTCATCAGTTGTACTCGAAAGGATTAGCACCCTCCATCCGGAGTTTAAGTGTGTACACCCCATTCGTGGGGAATCCTCGGGTGTACCCATTGTGTGACCCCGGGCCGGCTCTGTCGGAAAATTTGACCTCAACGTGCTTATCATAGATCAGCGGAATTTCACATTTAACCAGGAACGAGGTTTCACTAAAGGGAAGACAGCCACCTCTTCATAGCTACGTTTCACCCTCCCTCCTCGCCTTCGTCGTCCGCGTGTCCGTCGTCTTGCTCTTCGCCCGTTTAGGGATGGCTTCTCCTTCCTCCCGTTCCTTCTTCCGGCCTTCCGTCTTCCGCGTGTTGCTGTTCTTCTTCTTGGCCCGTTTAGGGATGGCTTCTTCTCTGCCTCGTTGTTTGCCTTTTTCGTCGTCGTCCTCTTCTTGTTTGCCTATTTGTTCGTGGTCCTCGGTCCCCTCGCGCTGTTTGGCTTGCCGTCTTCGTTCCCTACCGTTGCTTCATCGTGCTCTTCCTCATGGCCCCTCTGCGGGATTCGACGCCCTCTTCCTCGAGCATTGGCTTTGTCCTCATGTTTCTCTGGGCGGGATGCGTCGCCTTAAATACGCACACTTTCTTTCTTTCTTTCTTTCCCTCTTTCCCTCCTTCTCCCCTTCTCTCGTTTCCTTCCATTTTCTCCTGTTCCCTTCTCCTTCTCTCCTCCTCCTCTCTCTTCGCTTTTCCTTCTTCCCGGGCGGGATGCGGCGCCCTAAATACGCACCCTGCTCCTTTCTTTTTCCCCCCGGGCGGTTGCGACGCCCTTAATATGCTTTCTCTCTCTCTCTCCCTTTCTCTCTCTCTCTCTCTCTTTTTCGTTCTTTCTTTCGTTCCTTCTTTCTTTCTCTCTTTCTGTCTTCCTTTCTTTCGTTTCCTCCCCCCCCCCTTTTCCAACTACTTCCTGTTCTTCCTCTTCGCCCGTTTAGGGATGGCCTGGTCCTCTTCTCGGTCTTCAACTTTGCGGTGGTGGTCGTCTTCCAGGTTTAGGAGGGTTTCTGGGCTGTTTGGGGTTTTTGCCCTCGGCGGTGACCCTAAAACTCGGGTTCCCCTGTTTTTCGTGTTTCTTGGTTGGGGTTTTGCCCGCGGAGACCCAACGTGGGGCTTTCTGTTTCTTTTGGGTGCTTGCTCCGTTTGTTTTCTGTTGGGGTCTTCGTCCGTCTTTCGGGCGCTTCTTCTCCCCCCCGAAAAAGTGTTTCTCGCCCCTCTTTGAGGGGCGTGTGTGTGCGGAGTGGCAGAATACCCTGCCACCATACAATCCTTTTTTTCACGACAGCAGGGGGCTGGAGCCGGCCCGGGGGGTCTCCAGCCAACGAAGACGCCCCCCGGTGCCCGGGTCCAAACGTACCTGCGGGGCTGCGCCTGGGCCATTGTCATGGCAGCTGGCGGGCCCACCCCAAACAAAGGTCCCCTTTTTGCCCTTTTCTCCAAAACCAGCTGAACCCCAGCTGTACTCGAGACTCACCAGCTGTACTCGAACGATGAGAGACTCATCAGTTGTACTCGAGACTCATCAGTTGTACTCGAGACTCATCAGTTGTACTCGAAGGGATTAGCACCCTCCATTTGGAGTTTAAGTGTGTGTGTGTGAGCGAGAGTGGCAGCCATTGACGAAGGACATGCCTGGATTTCCGCCACTGCGCAGATGGAGCTCAGCACTACTCAAGCAGAAGCGACTTGGATTGACCGGATCGCGGGTTGGATTCAACTGCACGAATAACGAGCTTTCACTCCACCCCACCCGACCCCATCCCCAGATCAGAGATCCCTAACTTCGGGAGATGTGAGTTGGTGAATCCCAAGCAATGGGGCCTTACCCCGACCTAATGTATTGAGGGTGGGGGCTTACCCATGGTATCCCATGGTGGGCCAATGGAAAATAATGGATGAACAGCGAAGTTCCTGAACTTTAAGCGGCAAGCCACGTTGTGTGATTGCCAATCCACCGCAATTTCAAGGTTCAGTTTCTTCAACTTGTTCAGACAGATCCAGGTTAGATTTTTATTTTGGGCCTTTGGGCCTAGGCCTTTTGTCGGTTGGGTCCTTTTTGGTTAGGCCTTCGCCGGGTTTTCCCGGGCCCTTCCCGGGCCCAACCAGGTGCTGGCGTGGCAGCACCGGGTGCGCTCGGAGCAGAACTGGGCGCAGAGCTCGGAGAAGGTGGGCCTCCGCCTCGGGGAGTCGGCCACCTACAGACCTTCGGCACGAAAAACGAAAAACCAAAAGCGGCGGGCAGGCGGAGGTGGGTTTTTCCGGATGGATGGATGGATGGATGGATGGATGGAGCCCAAAAAAGGAGGGAGCTGAGAGGAAGGTTTCTTTTTCTTGTTTTCCTTTTTTTTTTTTTGGGGGGGGGGTCTACAAAGACAGGCCGCTCATGCTTTTGTATTTTGTTGGATTCAACTGTCCCTCTTTTTCAGGGCCCCTAGGATAGCAGCGGTGAGGTAGGTCAGACCCCCCACTCTAGCAGGAAGCATGGAACCATCAGCAAGGTGCCTTGATAGGCCCTCAAAAAGAAATAGATAGGTCCTCAAGCCGACTGGTCTTGGGTCCCGTTTTCCGAGCTTCCCTTTCCAGGGGCCAAGCTTCCCGGACGTGGTCTGCGCGTAGCAGGATGCAAGGTGGATTGCTGACATCTCGAGACTGGTGGCTCCGTGTTGTTATCATATGTGTTTGTGGTTTCTCAATTTCTCAAGGCCTCAGTCCTTTGTAAGCACTCATTGACTCATGAGGGTGCTTTTGTGCTTTGCCTTGGCCGCATTCTGGGTCATTTAGATAGTGCCTCTTGCAACAAGCTCTCGGATGGCCATCCTTGTCTCGCAGCCGCCTCTCCTTATCTGAGGCCAGTTCGATGGCCAGGCGCGGGGATGGCCAAATGTTGCAAAGGGAACAGGTGGTACTTCCTCTGTTGCCCAAAGCCGACCTTTTGACCTTTGGTTTCTCATGTTTGGTCTAGTTTCAGTCATGGCCCCAAAAGGTTAACCTTTTATTTCTGGGTCCTTTGGGCAAGTGAGCTCCCTTTTACGACTCTTAAAGGGCTTCCCCCTTCAATTCAAATACCATCCAACTACAAGCGAGGCCACTGAAGGTCTGGGGCTGTGGCTCATGACACCTTGGTCCATGAGGATTGTAGGACCTAGGGGCCGCCTTCCACTGGCTCCCAGTTGCATAGCGGGTGCCAGCCATGCAAGAGAAACTGAGTGGCACATGAGGCAACATCCGATCATGGCGGAGACGTCAAGCCGAATCTTGGCTGGCATGTGCTTTTTTGGGCGGGCGGCGGGCGGGTGTGGTTGGTCACCTTGCCACCTCGTTGGTGGATGTTTTTATTATTATTATTATTATTCTTATGTTATATTATTATTATTATTATTATTATTAGTAGTAGTAGTAGTAGTAGTATTGTTATTATTTATTTGTTTATATATTTGTTTATATATTTATTTATTTTGTGTGTGTTTAAGTGTGTGTTTGCTTCGAGGGTACCCTGATTGGCTTTAGCCAGCAAAACCAAGAGAAGCCGGGGGGAGGTTGAGCCAAACGTAGAAGGACCCCTCAGACCAAAAGGTATCCCTGGTTTGGGTTGGTTTGGATTCGGATTTGAACCCCTGGTGGCAGAGGGCAAATGGCCTCCTCCAAAGCACGAATCCAAACCACCAATCCAAACCAGTTAGACGAAAGCTCAGTTCAAAGCTTTCAAGAAAGGCCTGTGAGTTGAAGGCTTGCCGAGCTCAGGACGGGCGGCTTCAGCTCCTGAGCTGCATGGAAGGTCGATTCATTTCCACTCCGGCCAGGAGCCAATGGCTGAAGCGAGCCAGAAATGTCATGGTCGCTGCCTCACTTTTTTTGGACCTGGCCCGCAATGGACGGGGAAGTATCAAAAGACATGCCACTTAAGCCTCAAAGTACCTAACGTACCCAGCATGAACTGCGATAGAACAAAGGTGTTGTACCCGAGGTGCGCTTCTGCAACTTGTTGGCCTCCTGGATGTTTGATGCCTCCTAGTTGAACTACTTCACACACCTGCAAAAGTATTACCGAACTACTCATTGATATCCATCCTGTTGAGGACACGGCTTGGGCCTTTCGAAGGTGTTGGGGCCTTCATTCTCAAGGTTCCTCCGCTTGACTGCAACTGTTATTGTCGGGGCACCTCAGAAGAATGATCCTGCGTATGGATAAAATCCACGTCACACCAGTTGGTAGGTGGGTTGACAAACAGTACGCATTCATAGAAGATTTCATCCATCCTACTGCAGGATTTAGTTCATTGAGGGTAGAGCCTTGGGCAACCGAAACATGCATCACTAGCTTCCTTTTGCGATGAATATGAATACTCCAATGATCATGGGATAAACTAGCTGTGAACCGCCCATCCACCCATCGATTTGGTCCAAGGCCCGCTGCTGCAGAAACTCGCAGAGGGCCTGGACCTCCAACTGCGCACCGCTGCCCTCCGCGTGCGAGTTCTGGCGCAAAAGGAGGCGGAGGGACCCCAGGCGGGCAAGGGCGTGCGTGTGGGAATGGACACGTCTTTGGGGAGCCCATGTTAGCTGTCAAAGAGAAGCCAAAGAAAACTCCACCATGTTGGGGGCCCCAAAGGAATGTTGTGACTGTTGCATAAGGATGCGTGCACAATGTTTGATTCTCGCTTCGGAAGCCCGCACCAGATATTGTTGACCCCATATAAATCAACCCCAGTTGATGAATAGGGGGGTGTGCCCCTCCAAAAGCGATGATTCCCAACTAAACCAAAAAAAGCACCCCCATATTAATCAACTGGGGTTGATTAACATGGGTTCAACCTTAGTGTTGTTTTTCTCCAAGCTTTGGGATGAATCAAGGGTTGGTTCCCAAGCGTTCTCTCTAAACTGGCATGCCCTCCTGTTACTTAAGGGGTTGATTGATCCTAGTTTCCCGTGTTTCGCGTCAATCCGCAATTCAATTTACCCGTTGGCGTGTAGCCATGGGCATGGGAATCCCACCTTTTGTATCATAGACAGGGGCCGTTTGGGCGCAACATAGCAGATAGACTTTCAATTCTCCTCGAACAAAGTGGAGATGGAGATGTCTTGATGTCTCGTTTTTCCAGACAACAGAGCTTTTCAGCAACCAGTCGTGGATTTACTTATGGCACCCCGCCACAAGTCTTCCATGGAAAAGCGTGACCTCAGGTGGTGGTGGAGACTGACACTAAGAACTTCGAAGGCAGGCCCTTCCCGACCCCGGGCGTGTGCGCTAGCCTTAGGTTCAGGTTACCCCCAATTGGTGATTTGGAGTGGCTTGGGGAATTGAAGCGCTGGTTATTGTTGAGTAAATGGGGAAGGTAATTGTTACGGTCCAAACCGCTAAATCACAAATCAGAGGCAGCTGACTTTGGTTGGCTTAGAGGAAAACCACACAGGAAAGCCGAAGCCACTTGCGGGGGCCATGCCGATTTTGACACACAGCCATTTCTGGAACTCATAGCGTTTTGGGAAAGTCAATTTTCGGCTTGCTTGAAAGTGAAGGCACGCCTTGTTGTTGCTTGGCTCTTGTTGCCTATCTCGGCGCTTTTCAATGGCCCAGTCCCTCTGGGGTAGGCGCTGCGGTCATCGTCACAGTGCCCTTGGCAGTGCTGCAAGAAGAGCCTTGGCTGTGCTTCAAAACGACATTTGAACAACTTGGGTGTTCTCTTTTGAACGAATGGGTTCATGATCGGGTTTATTAAATGTGGACCAAGTCTTAAAAAGGTGTTTGAATGGCAGGGAGCACTGAGGTAGCTTTGGGTTGACCAGGTTCAGAATCAACTGCCAGGTCCGTATGCCAGGTTACATGGTTTCCCTTGCTCTAGCTGTCCGGATCAGCGGGTCACGGATTTCCCCAATCAAGCGAGCAGGATGGACCATGGAGAGCCAGATTCGCCAACACGCTCCCTGCGTTCCGACAAAGTGACTTGAGTCACTGGTGGGTTTGGACATTCTAGTGGTAAACTAAAAGCTTGGTTACTGTCTTGGCCCATCAACTCGGGAAGTGAGCCATTCCATTCTGAACAGCCCAGCCTGCTGGGCTGAGTCACAGCGCTAAGGCTGAGATCTCTTTTGGATTTCGTCTTGAATTTGGAGGTTCACGTGCCGAGCACAGTCAAACGTTTGTTGAGGGTAAAGCACTAGAAGCAGCACCCTCAACCGCTGGTTTTTGGACAGTGCGTGGGATTTTGCACCTGGAAAACTCCAGTTGTTGGGCATGGTGGCTGAAATGAAACATGTTCGGGGTGGGGTTCAAACGCCGAGGTAAACGGTGATCACATTCAGTTTCCTGGCACCAAGGATCGGATCCAGTTCCAGCCCCCGCTTCCTGGATCCTGGCATGCCCCTCGCCGCCTTCAAGAGAACCCGAAGGAGGTTTTCAAGAGGTCGCATGGAACCAGGAGGTTTTGAAGGAGGTTTTTGGGTCGCATGTTTCGGGCCTGTTTTCAAGAGAGCCCTTTTCCATTTAGTTGGCATAAGGGGGGAGGATCATGGCGCCACGGGCGGCAGGTTCAAATCCACATCTATTTGTCCGTCGCCCAAACCGCCAGTAGAAGTCTCAGAGACGATGCCAATCCGCGCCAAGGCATCTCTTGGCCGTGCCTTGTCGGGATGATTATTTGGTGGCGGCGTCGAGGAGTTCTGGTTCTAATGCGCCCATTGAATTGACATAAACACCGGAACTTCAATCTACTCCTTTAGATCTGTAGTAATTCATTGCCAAGCCACCCTGGCCTGACCGAGCCCTTACTCAGGCCTTGCGGCCGTACTGAGAGGGCGAAGTGCTAAGCGTACTTCTTGACTGAAATTATACCCAACAAAAAGGCGTTGGCTGTTTTGAAAGTCAATCTTGCTTGAGTCACGGGCTTCCCTGATGAAGCAAGTCCAGTTTGGACGACGTGCCGTCCGAAGATGAGCGAGGCTGAGAACGAGACACACAGCCCCGCCCACTCCAACACGTTCACCAGCGCAGTGGAGACTTTTCCTCATTTGAAGCGCATTCTTGTTTGGTTGTGTCTAGAAGCCCTACAAGCTAGATGCCAGTTCGGCATTTGTTCCGAGAGGGGAGCCCCCATCAACATGAATGTGTTGAGTTGGATTTGGCTTGTGTCAGCTTCATGTGTGCAATTTCCGGCGGAGGTCTGTTGATCGAAAGGCATGGCTTGAGTGCAAGTCTGAATCCTGTCAGATAATACTGGTTTTTATGGTGTCCAAGGATTACGAATTGGGACCTGTGGCTAATTTTCATGTTGAAGGACCACTTGGGTGTTCGATCAAGTTGTTAGTAACCTAGGTAACCTAGGTGATAACCAACTTATAAGCCCCCCGTTCCGTGGAGCTGACCCTGTTGGTCAGTTACAACCCAGGTGGGCCACTTACCAACTTGACCGACCCCCCCCCCATTCCGAAGAAGCAAATTACTCCCCTGCCAAAATGACATGGAACCCAAAAGGGGGGAGGGCAAAAAGGAGGCTCCTCCGGAGTGGACGATTTTTTTTTTGGGGGGGGGCCATGTTGATTTGTGGACCATTCTCATCGCAGGCCTGCAGATGGGTCAGATGGCCAAGCTCTTCATCCGCTTCCAGCCCGGCGGCTGTCCCATAGGCCGGGCGAGGGTCCAAAGGCTGCAGTCGTTTCGCCATGCGGAGAAAACCACGCAACAGGAGGTGCTGGTATGGGGCCATTTGAGCCGCAAACACCTGGCAACATGATATTTGGGGGAGGGGTGCGTCAACCAGAAGATGCAGAGATCCACGCTTAAAATTATTCACCATGGCTTTTGAATAGACACTGTGACTCGCCAGTTGGGCCACATTTTCAAGGCAAGCTTGCAACGGGGGCTCGTATATGTTCCCCTTTTGGGTGATTTGTTGTTTTTGTTGACTGATGTTTCTCGCAAAGTTACCCTCGGGTGGTTGGTTCCGCTGGATTTCCCTTGGGCAGCACATGGGTGTAAGGGACCCCCCCAAATGGGCGGTGTTCCTTTTCGTTTCCCTGATCAAACAAACCCACAACGGGACAAGGGAGCCTCTGAGGTGGCGACACCTACTTGCTCTCCAAAGTGGTGTCCTTCGACTCGAGGGCCTTGCTCTACTACTGCATCCGTGGGGGAACTTGGAAGGTTTGGATGTGTCTCCACTTCAGAGAAGCCTCTGTCGGATGGGTTTGCACAGGAAAACGCAAGAAAACCCGGCCCTTTCCTTTGGGGCTGGTGGGTTTGGAGCACGGGCTCTCCTTGAAAACGCGTAGGGAGCTGCAGGGATGAAGGCGTTAAGGCGAGCCGGCGGTAAAATGCAGAGTATGGCACGTTTGATGCTTGGGCCGACCTACAAGCACACACGCAGGAATACACACACACACACACACAAACCGGTATGTTCACCAAAGCCACGGTGTGTGAACACAAGTCCAAGTGCAGCATGCCACTGCAGGTGAGGATGACATCGCTTCAGAGCTCCTAAGCAAACGATGGTATCGTTGGGAGGGGAGCGCCCAGTTCCGAATCCGGCAATTGGATTCGGGGCCTGGGCCCCTGGGCATCCGATGCGCACAGCAGAAAAACAGGGGTCCTTATTCCATTCCGTCTTGGGGAGGGTGTCTTAAGTATCAGCCTTTTGGTGTGATTGAGCCTTGTCGGTGGGTTGACGTGTGAGTGCGACGTGTAAGGAACCCTGAATGGTCTCTGTTTGGTTAGCTTGCCTTTTGTGAAGATAAAGAGTTCGTTAACTTGGTAAGGGCAAGCCGTATTGTGTGCAAAGCTCCCTTCTTAGTCCAAAGTGACCAAGGCGCAGCTGCTTGATACTTGTTAGGTCAAGTGATGACGCATGCAGGCTAAAGAGCACCTTTTACTGCTTGGAGAAAATGCGGGGCTTGATTGCCACCAAGTTTCCTCTCTTCAGGTTGAGTTCGAATGGCATGTAGGAATTTAACATCCCTCATAGATTTCCAACTGCAAGCGCGCGCCTGCAGCAAGTGGCACCGAGGATAATGATTTGCCTGGTTGGTGGGCCTTCTGAGCGCGAGGCGTGCCGGGACAAAACGCCGCAAATCCGACTCCTTTCTGGCTTTGCAGGGCTCCTCGGCAAACCGCACGCCTGCATACATCCGGCCAGCGTTTGAATTCATGCGCATGTGACTCCTTTCCGCCTGGAACCTGACCGAAGATCCCTGGAAGACAACCTTTCTCTTGAATCGGAGGGTAGGTGACATAGAGCAGTGCATGTTACATTCAAGCTTGAATTTTGTTTACAGAAACCCTAATTACTTGACGACCCAAGGCGAGTTGCCTCCAGCATGAGGAAGGTCATTCTCAAAGCTAAGAGTAGTGCCCTGCTGAAGCAGGCACGTTGCTTAGGAATCTGTTTACTTTGAGGTTGTGAAGGGAACCCCAGTGGAAATCCCAGGAAATCTCCCTTTCCCACTTGCAGCGTCCGAAGTGGCACGCCTGCTACCTTCTTGAGGGAACACATTTCAGGTTGTGTTTGGGGAGTTCGCTCACTGTACCAAGCGAGTTTAAGTTGTCCTTTGTCCTTCTATTTGTCGAATTTGGGGAAAGCTGTAGCCACAACCTTTCTATTTCCAGATCTTGCAGGTGACTTGGTTTGAGCTTGCTCTGTGCAGGTGAGTTCCTTTTTTCACAAGGTTCAGGCAAGCCTCAGATGTGTCGTTTTGTGCAATAGGCAAAATGCCTGGGTGTTGGGTTTGCCCAGTCCAACTTTTAGTGGAGGTCCCCCCTCGGGCTCCGTCCAGGCTCGTGGCCTATCATCTTCCGAGCTGCAAAGGCGCGTGGCGGCAGAGCTGAATGAGCTGCTGCTCGATGATCAAATCCCGGGATTCGCAGCGCGGGAGGGTCCGAGAGGATTGATGGCACCCGTTGTTGGTAATTATTGAAGGGAAAACCAAACGGAAAATCATCCTTGCCCCCCGCCTCCCCGAAATGACAAACAAGGCGCAGTGCGGCAGGCATGGCGCGGTTTGAGTTGTTTCCCGGCGGGCAAAGTGCCCTTCGCTTCTGCAACCGCGACTTTCGACGCAATGGAGGGAGGGGAGGGAGGGGGAGAGAGAGAAAGAACAGTCAAAGAAAGAAAGAGCAAAAGGAAGCAAAGACAGAAAGAAAGAAAGGAAAAGAAAGAAAGAAAGAAAGAAAGACATGCAATAATAAAGAAATCAAACGAAGAGAACAATCATAAAAAAGAAGAACAGAAAGAAAGTTAAACTAGAGAAGAACAAAAATAAAGACTAGTCAAAGAAAGAAACGCATAAAGACGTAACAAAGTGCATATCATAAAGACATACATAAATAAGGCGAGAAATAATCAACTCACAATAGATAAAATGAAGAGAATCAATAAAATGAAGAAACACAAGAAAAAGAAATAAATAACGAAAAAAAAGAAAGACAGAAATAAGGAAAGATAGGAAACACGAAAAGAGAGACAATAACGATAAATAGCTAAACAAAATATAGAATCAAAAAGGGAACATAACGTCGTACGGACCTTGAAACTTGCAGGTGTAGGCATTGGTGCAGCTCAGTCGGGGTGGTCAAACTTTGTGAGCCCTGGATACCCAATTTCAACATGGTGACGCGTTTTGGACATTTGTCTACGGATCGCCTTTGTGACAAAGTAGTCATCGGGATGGCTCAATTTGGTATCACAGAAGTTGTTAATGGGAACCCAGGATTAAATAAACCCCTAGTCGATCATTTGGGGGGCGGGGGGAGGGTGTCCCCTTTTAGGAATCCAGATATTTTTGTGGGCGGCACCACCCTATTAAGCCACTATTTGGGTGTTCAATATACTTAACAAGTAGGTTATCACCATGGTTACAACCTACTTCACAGGTTAATTAAGCACCCAAGCACTGTTCGTTCGTCCAGGGCTCCCCATTGCCCACTCTGCCGAGGTTCCCGCAACAGGCCGCCGCGGTGCAGGAGGTTCAGCTGGTGTCCTTTGCCGATGACCCCTACGTGCCGGGCCAAGTTGAGTGCGGTCCGATGAGTGGGTGGGGGGAGTGATTCTTTTAATTTGGGTGCACTTTTTTTAGGGGACCCGCAAAATGGTTGGTTTGGCCTCTGGTGTATGTCTTGAAGAGACAAAGGCACTTATGCACGGTTTCAACAGTCAGGACCAGGCCCTTCAGAAGGAGACACTCAAATACCAAATTGTGAGTTATCAGTTTGGGTCTTCTTTTCAGGAATCGGACCATGGAAAAACCGGAGCTTTCCTGCCCCAAGCATCATGGGATCCTCCATTGGAGAGGTCTGGGCCCATCGGAACGTGTGGAAGGGCCTCTTGAGGGCCCACGATGCTTAGGGCTTTTGGTTTCCAAAAAACCACAACGAACGGGGTCCCCCAAATCAAAAAGCTGTCTCACCTTCGCAATGAGTGGGGCTGCGGGGGTATCCCACGAAAAGAGAAAGACGAGCCGCCCGATTGTTCGAATGGCCTGAGGTGCTTGGGTCATGGACGTCTGGCAAGGCCTGGGGCCCGTCGACCCTCGGCCCCCGGCTTCAACGGGGGGGTCGACCTGATTTGTCCGTTGGGCGAGCGCTCTCCTGCAGGTTTTGCGGTACCATTGTGTTTCTGTTTGTAAGGGTACTTTTGTGTTTGAGAGTTTTGGTGCTGCAAATTATTGTTCAGCTTCAAGTGTGCCAAAGTGATTCTATAGTATAAGCATTTGAAGGTCACCTGTTCAGAGCTTGACTGAAGCAGGATTTGCTTTGGGTCAATTGTGTCTTGGTCAATCTGGGCCAATCATCCTTTCGGTTCCAAATCCGGCCAAGCTTGCCAAGCTGACCGAAGTAGAATGACCGTTTCTGCAATACCAAGGGGGGAGTCCAGTCCCAAGACTAGTTGATCACTTCAAAGGGGATTCACCAAGGGCATCATAGAAAGTCGCAATTTGAAGCCCGGTTATTCACAGACATGAGTGTGCTGTGCAACAACCCAAGTGCAGGCCCTCGTTGCTGATAGGACTATTTGGCTGGCCCCCAAATAGGGGGCCACCATCATCCAGACTCTGACGACATTGCCTGCCAAAGAATTTGAACTCAATTTCTTCCATTTGGTTGATGATTTAAGGTCCTCTAAAGTCTTCTTCCAGTCCCATAGAACTGCCTGCCCACACGTGAAGCCTAGCGAGTCAATTCCGAACAAATGTATATATGTACGTTTTGAACCCCTGGGTTCATACCAAAGGAGGTAAATGTTCCACCCTTGTGTCAGGAATTGTGGTTCAGGATGAGTTTGCGGCTTGGGGATTTGAACCTCTGGTCCTTGATGAGACGCACAAGGCCCAACCTCCAGCAACCAAATCGCGATGCAAAGCACAAGAAGACAGGGGAAAGCTGGTTTGACGAGCCCTACATAGATTTTGACACTAGGTCGGGTTGTAGGGTCACTTGAGATACCAGGTTGCCAAGGGATTAAGCTAACACGGTTGGAGAACCATCTGCTTTTCGCCCCCCTTTTTGGGTTTCATGTTAGTCTGCTGGGTATGCACTCTGCAAGTTATCCCTGCCAAAATGGATGGCAGGTGGGCTCTCTTAGCGAGGACTTTGAGGAATTCGCGCCAAAAACGCGCGCCTTGGCTGGGCTGAACTGCGGTGCTTGAAGCAGTCAAACTCGCCAGGGGGATGTGGGTGTGCCTTGTTTGAGGGAACAACTCTTTTAAAAGTTTTAGGGGAGCCAATAGTAAAACCACCATCTTGGAGGGCCCGATCCTAAAACGACTCACCCATGTTTTCATGTTTTGGAGGGGTACGTCGGGTTTTTGGCCGTTGGGTGGCAGTTCGCGTGCAGAGAGAGAGAGAGAGAGAGAGAGAGAGAGAGAGAGAGAGAGAGAGAGATGGACACAGACACAACTGATGGGTGTCGATCATTTGAGACTTTAGCCCAAGAGAGGCTGAGTCAGAACAATTTCATCAGAACTCCAACATCAACCTTGCTTTCCCCAATTCACGTTCCACCCTTGTTTCCCCTCCAACAATTGTCAACCCCCCAACAACTTCCCCACATAAAGTGGTCAACCCCAAAAACCTTCCAACAAAACTTTCCCACCAAAACTGGTCAACCCCAAAACAAGTTTCCGCTAAAAATGGTCAACCCCGGAATCTTTCCCACATAACTGGCAACGCCCCCCCCCCCCGAAGAAAAAAAAGAGGCGCTCGCGAGGTGTTTTCTTCGCCGGGGAGCACACCTGCCGCCTGATGTATGGCACCACGCAGGCCTGCACTTGAACAGTGGTCCACCTGGAGTCCGCCTGGACGGCCGGTTGGACCTTTCTCCAAAGGGATTTGATTTCGGAGCCTTTTCTGGACAGTTTGCCCAATATTTATATTTGTTGGCTTTAAAGGACACCTAAAACTATTACTACTAGGTATGTTTGGGCTTCTTTTTTCGCAGGGGGCGAGAAGCGCAAATGGAGGTTTTGGATCCCCCTGTGCATTTCCCTCTGAGAAAATGGGTGAGGTTGACCTCTCTATCAACGTATTTCCAAATAGAGAAGGTGGCGGTTGGGTCACCCCAGTTCGCAGTAAACCCATTCTTTAGGACTTGTGGTGTTGCCTCTTTTCTTGCCTGTAAAATTGGTCCCGGCAAATGCTTGCATTTCGTAGAGGCTACGTGTCTTGTGTTTTGTTGAAGGGCCAGGTTGGTTTTTGTAGCAGCCGCTTCGCATGCTGTGTTCAGGGCAACTGGGTCAGGGTAATGTTATTCTGTAGCCTTGAATGTAGAGACACATCATTTTGTAGGTTGCTGAACATATGGCAGAGCAAAAAAGGGATAAAGATAAGAGCAATGGTGCCCTACAAATTGCTTGCCCATGCCATTTGGAACATTGATGGGATTCGTCATCCAAAGCTTGTTTCTGGCAGGGCGCACGTTCCCCATTGCCAGATATGGTTAGTGCTTGAACCACAAGGCCAGCTTAGGTCATGGATTTCAGGGGTGGCCCCAATGACATAGATCCCTAGCTTATGTGACAGCAGTTTCTAACGACCGCTTGGTAAATCCAACAGTGCCCTCCAATTCAGGGACCCATTTTGTTCGCAAGACAGCCTCATTTCGTGGAGGTGTGAGATGGCTGTTCCAGCGCCACCCCCTTGATGCACTCCTATTTGGCGAAAGACCCAAACCGACTTCAAAGTTCCCTCCTTTTGGACTGGAAACTTGAGCTTGACCCAGAACGCGGTACCAACAAATCGAGGCATTGTTGGCCAAGCGGCTCAAAGTGCGAAAATGCAACCCCCAAGTCCAGCGTTGCCGCCTGATCGTCGGAGTACTTCTTGGTGAGAACCTCTCTGGGGCTACCTTGCTTCCAGTTGAAACCATCTAAACAGACTCTTCGTCTCTGAGTGTGGGCAAAGGAAAACAAGAATCCATGCACCAGGTGGACAAACCCCTATTTGACATTGGACATGGATTTTGTGCATCAACTGTTGGGCAAAAGCTGCATAAATGGTGGATTCCCCTGCCATATTGCAAGTAGACCAACCGCACCCACCCACAGAACCATACTCGAAATAGGGAGTTCCCTTGTTCCCCTTGCAATATGTAGGCCGCTTGGCCACCGTAGCTCTTGTCCAGGCGTGGGTTTGCGGCCCATGGTTTTTTCCTGCCAGGCCGCAGTCGTCTCCGGGGCGCGCGCCGCCTTCCAGGCCATTTGTGTGGATGGAGCTTGTGGCGCATGGCGAACCCAGGCATTTGAGATTTGGTTGCCCAAAGCCGACCGTTTGAACTATGGTGGTCACCGTTTATGCTTGTGTCCAAACTGGGCAAGTGAGCAAACCATCGTTGGCCGCAGGGGGCGGGGCTCCCTGCTGACTTCGGGGCATAGGCCTTCGCACCATTGACAGACAGTTGGCAAAGCCCAATGTTTTCTCCTCGTTTTGAAGGGCGATGTGTAAAGTCAATGGCTTCACTGGTTTCAGCAGTTTCCGGTTTCTTATTCGTGGAAGGAGGGGTGCAAGAAGCGGTTTGTGTATGGAAGCGGTTGCTGCATAAGCCGGGGGTCATTCTTGGAAAGGACTGAGTTGTGTGGTTCCAAGGGCTCCCTTGTCTTTTTTTGCACCCTGGGACAATTTCTGGAATATCTGCACATGTGAAAAGACAATGTTTTCCACAGCCATCTTAGGCGGTTGCCATCAGCTGGTCCAACGAGACGTCCCAACGCAGGAAGGATGATCTTGCACATTGAAGGGAACTCCCTCTATCTCTCTCTCTCCCTCAATCTAAATACTCATACATGCATGCATGCATGCATGTATGTTCAGAAGCCAGGTCGGTCAGCAGTGCCCGCGGCCCCGCCTGTTTTCGCCCAAAATGCTTCCAAGGCATTGATCATCGACAATCTCATGTGGTCCCCGAGGTTAGTTTTGGCTACGTACCCCGTCATCTTGTCAGCCAACTTGTCTTGCTTCGAGGCCGCTTCTGACTCATTCAACGTCCGCATGGAGCCATTGTGTAGCCTCATTGCTCCTCTTGTCGAAACCAGTGCTTGCCGTTTGGGCTTTGCATGCCCTTGCACTCTGCATCTTGCAAAGCTTTGCTCCGATGCGAACCTTTGCTCTGTGATTTCCACCTCGAGGCTGTGGGGGCTTGCCTGTCATGCCATCCACCTTGCCTACAGCTGCTTCATCCACTGCACATCGCTCTTCCCGGCCACCAATCTTATTAGCTCTTCTGTATTCGCCGAACAAAGCTGCCTCCCCAAAGTGTTGGACGAGCAACATCATGAGCATCCTTGACCTCTTCAAACAATGCTCTTCACCTTTCTCATTGCAACACATCCAGACCAGGCAGAAAGGCAAATATTCGCGCTGCGCGTATCCTGGGCAGAGCTGGCAGGCGCATCCCGGTGCGAAAGTGCCTGTGATCAGAACAGTTCATCAACGGCACGTGCTTGCTGAACAAAACATTCGGCATGACACTGGCTCACGAATGCTACTTTCAATTTCGTGTCCACAAATAAGGTGTAACAAAAGGACCCGCTTGTTGCACTTGCACACTCACGCGGTTCACTCGTACACCCGCACGCCCTACTCGCACACTTCACTCGCGCACTTGTAAAAAAGCCACTCGTACGCTATTTGGCCAGTGTGCCTAAAACACGTATTTACAACGGCTTTGGCACCAGCTAATACATGCAACAAATACATACATGTATATGTACATATACACAATTATACACAGGCATGTTAAAATGTATGGCATTCCCTTGCTACAGGAAATCATGTTCCCCCTACGTTACCATTTTGAAGGGGGTTCCCGCTTAAATGTATGGCGCCGGCTTGACATATTGGCGATGCACAGGTGCTGGGTACAACGGTCCCATCATCCGACTGGCCCTTCTTCAACGCGTCCCTGCGGCTCGGACAGCCTTCAGGTTTCTGCATGGCCGGAACACCCTTCAAAATGGTTGGAAAACGCTTCACAAGTCTTGGACATAAATTCCGTTGTGATTTTCAGCCAGGGGCCGGCCGTAATGAGAAATCATACTCAGCAATTTTACTGCAAATCAAGATGGCGCCCAACAAAGTGAGTTCCCCAGCAAGGTGTCCCAAAATTAGCCAACCCCGGTTTCAGCCATCCTTCGGGATGAGGAGACCTGGCACCATGTCATCCTGCAAGTGCGCTGAGGTATTCTTTGTGCGCGCCTTGGCAGCACTGCGGGTTTGCAACGCCCCAAAGTGAGACGTCCCAAAGATGCGGTGACGTCGTAAAACGCCACCTGCAATGTATGGGAAGCAGTGGTGAAAACAGTTGTCATTTTGAGAATGGCTGGTCTTTGGTGTAACCTCACTGACCTCACTGGCCCCTTTTGGACTCAAGGGGATCACAGAGATGAACGGCTCAAGCCCTGCAATGCTCGCCTCGAGGACGAGCTGGGCGACCAGACGCGCCAGGCCGGGAAAGATGGAGCAAAGCCTTGGAACTGGAACTGTCAGTTTGCTGGAAGATTGTCCTTTTGGTCAGTCCGTTAGTGTCACTGTGGTTTTGTTTCTAATCCACCGGAGCCGGCTCTTTTTTTCTGATAGGACGCCTGGGATTTGAGATTTGTGCTTTTGGCCATTCAAATATATACTTGGGGTCTGGTGATGCGTACCGCTGCACACGGCGCGTGTTCTGAAGTGTGAAGGGCCGTGCCATGTTTCTCTGAGTTCCAAGTGGGAAATTGAAAGGGAAGCCACTTGAATCCAGGGTGTTGTTCACGATTTTCCCGCGCCGCTGAAAAACGTTTCCACATAGCAGGCAGCCTTCCGACTCAGCTGTGGCACTCCCGACACCATCTAGTCTTCAACCAAGAGCCCGCAGGCCCGGCAACTCTATGCCTTCAGGTCCATTCCACGTGCAACCTTTCGTTTCCCCAGGCAACACATTCTAGACCTGAGTGTTGCCTCCCTTGGTGAGAATACAAAAATCGTGCCAAAGGTATAGAAGCCCTCTTGGATTCAAAAGAAGCCGTTTGTTCTTTCCCGTGTCGAGTTGAAAGACATTATCTTTTTGTTGACAGGCTTTTTCTCAGCCTTGGCTGCGTGTCAGGATGTTCAACGGAAAACATCGCTGGTCTTTGGTGCAACCAAGCCTTTTGGCTTTACAAATGGCCTGCTCCTGCTCGAGAAAATCTGTGAGCCGAGCTTCGGAGCCGCCGAGCCGCGCGAAACTCTCGCAGGAGCTGTGCAGCACCTCCTGCGCCCAGCAGTGGCATAGCTACAGCCTCCACGTGCCCAGCTTCTTCTCAGCCTGGGAAGGCATGGCCAAAAGGTGTCGGGTTGTTTTTGAGGCGAAGGGTTCCCTTAAGGTTGTTTTGAATCAAAGCTAAAGAGAAACCATACATTTTGGAGGTTCCCCCGTTTTGAGACAAACCCATGTCAAGTAACTAGATGTGACGTGGCAGGGAATTGCAACAGCCACTTTTTTCAAGAGTGGTGGATGAACAAGAATCCCCTCATAGATGATGTCCACCCACCTCCACTTCCATGGTTGGATTTTCCCACCAACCAGGGGATCCCCACTGATTGTCAGGGAAGCGTCTTGGGTACCTGAGGCCTGCAACATGTTTGGCCGTGGCGTACTTGAATAACGTCTCTGTCTGGAGCAGGAAAGGAAGAGGATAGGGCCCCAAAAATGATCAGGTCTCCTTTTCCTTCCAGTTGAAACAAGGTTGCCGTTTTTTCAATGTTCATTTGGACTATTGAGAAACTCGTGCCAAGCGGCTGAAGGCAGCGGAAGGTTTGCGTGTGTCTTTGTCATTGTTTGCCTACTCTCTTCTTGTGGTGTTTTTTGGTTAGGGGGCTTTTTTGTGGACATCATTTAGCTGGGGATTCATGTCCACCAAAAACTAGTGGGGAGGTGGTCCCCCGTTAAATGTCTTCGGCAAATGTCTGCTGCCAGGCATGTCTCAGAAGCACCGCGGCTGCTGGGCCAAACTGGGCTGGACTGAGCAGTCCTGGCGCGGGAAGCGCAGGAGCCGCCGAGACCGGGCGTCAGGGGCTAGAACCTATTTGTTAGAACCCAGTTAGGGTCACGCAAGTTATGAGCATAGAGATGAATATCAAATGTTACCTTTGTCTCCTTGCTGTGAGATGATAAGAGGATCCCTGTACAGTTTCTATGGCGCAATGCAAGTCACCTGGCAGCAAAGGACAATCGCCCTGTGGGCTTCTGTTTTCAGAAAACTCTGGGCGCTGAAACTGAAGAAAACCGGAAGAACAAAATTTACTTGAGTGCCCAAGACATGGATCCCCATCCTGAAGGCGTCGCTAAGCTCAAAGCAAACACCTACCCCGAAGTAGAAGGCATGGAGTTGTCCCCCTATTGCTCTTCCTGTCAAGCAAGGAGAAGCATGAGACCGGAGTGGAACTGGGCATCCGGCAGGGGTATCAAGGAAACCGACAATCCCACCCGAGCATCAGAACCAGCATGCAATAGGGGTGTCATCATTGGGAGGGCCGTTGACGACCATAGAAATGTTGACACGGACAAGTGCCAACACAAGGGGGAGGCAACAAATGTTGGTTTTCCTTGTGGTTTCCCTGGAAAGGGTACCCTTAAAATCACAAACCCAAATGACATTGAAGCAGCCCTCTTTTTCTCGAGGGGGGTTCACATTCCTGCCGAAGATCTACAGCCCATGCACAACATGGTAAGACTGGGAGCTAGCATGAACCGTGCGTTCTATTTTCGCTACTCTGCTCCTAATGATAACTCCTTGGTTTTAGAAGCCGAAGACCGCAGAAGGAACTTAATAACTGTGACTGCCCCCGCAAGAAAGCCATAAAATCACTGATTTGTGTGTTCTCCTCACCGTCTAACATCAGGGCTTTGATCATTTCCGCTCTGTTATCTCGTGAGAATGAGTGGAGCTGGTCTTTATGCTCCTTCACCTTGCAGAATTCGCCCAGACCTTCCGCAGGATCCCTTCCACTGCAGACACGCGGTGGCAGAAGCTGAGCGCAGCGGCCTCGCGGTTACAAACAAAACGGGGAGCGGCTGGGGCTGGCCAAGTGTGGTATGGCGAAGAAAGTCCAAACGCATGTTTCTGCTGTTTTTGCTGCGGAATGAGCGGTTTGTTCATGTCCGTTGGTTTCAAGGGAACCTATCATTGCTAGAAAGATACTTTTGTTTTTTCTCGGGGACTTAGGCCAATTGAGGTTTTGCTTGGGCTTGAAAGGGTTCAAAGGGGCACCTTACACAGGATAATTTTGGAAACTGATGTCAACGGCTCCTGCGAAGGATTTTTGACAATGGCACAAATGGCGTTCTATACTTAGACCCGAAGGGACTTGTGCAATCCAACCATTATTTACTTTTAGCACCCCCCATGTTGTGAAGAAACACCCTCAGGATAAGCAATGCTTACATGATATCTTCAACGAGCTTGACTCAAGCTCAGGTTCCTTCTAAGGTTCCAACACCCTTTCCCTAGTTGACCAAATGATGTTTTGAAGGGTTGGGTGGTGTTCCGGGAGAACCTTCGCATTGGCTTTCACAAAATTAAATTTTAAACCAATCATCCGAATCACCAAGCTGGAAATTCGCATTCACCTCAGGTCGTTTTTTCTCTCTCTTTTTTCGGGATTTCCTTGGAGGGTTTTGTGCTTGCCCTAGGTGTGTCCCTGGAACTTTGGCTAGGGTTTGCCCACAGCGTGCCAGAGCAAGTGTCGGAAACACCGCGGACACACTTCTGTTGCTCGAAACGTGAGTAGTTCAAGCACGAGCAGACAGTTGGCCAGCGTCGTAAGCTTGTAATCCTCCCTTGTTTCCCAAAAGTCAGACCCTCAGCCCGGCCTTTCCAAGGCATTGCTTGGAGACAAATCAGGAGAGGGGGAGATATGCTCTGAGAAAGACATGCCTGAGGCTCACGTCAACGTGTGCAGGGCTTGGGGCGGAAGGGGCCCCTCTCAGGAACGGTCAGCGGCGGCGTGTGTGGGCTACGAGCCTGCTCATTGGGATGCAGCTTGGCCTGAACCTGTCCCAAACCTGCGATCTTGCTTCGGGAAGCATGAGACTGGGTGGGGAGGGGGTGGGGGTTCCAAAGAAAAATATGGGTGCGGGCGGGCGGGCGGGTGGGTGGATTGGTGTGGGAGTGTGTATGTGTGTGTGTGTGTGTGTGTGTTGGCGTGTGCGTTGGCGTGTTGGTGTGTTTGTGTGTGCGTGCGCGTGTGCGTTGTGCGTGTGTGCGTGCGTGCGTGCGTGCGTGCGTGCGTGCGTGCGTGCGTGCGTGCGTGCGTGCGTGCGTGCGTGCGTGCGTGCGTGCGTGCGTGCGTGCGTGCGTGCGTGCGTGCGTGCGTGCGTGCGTGCGTGCGTGCGTGCGTGCGTGCGTGCGTGCGTGCGTGCGTGCGTGGGTGGGTGGGTGGGTGGGTGGGTGGGTGGGTGGGTGGGTGGGTGGGTGGGTGTGCGTGTGTGTGTGTGTGGGTGGGTGGGTGGGTGGGTGGGTGGGTGTGTGTGCGTGTGCGTGTGCGTGTGCGTGTGCGTGTGCGTGTGCGTGTGCGTGTGCGTGTGCGTGTGCGTGTCGTGTGTGGGTGTGGGTGTGGGTGTGGGTGCCGGTGCCGGTGCCGGTGCCGATGCCGGTGCCGGTGCCGGTGCCGGTGCCGGTACCGGTGCGGGTGCGGGTGCGGGTGCCGGTGCCGGTGCGGGTGCGGGTGCCGGTGTGTGCGGGTGTGTGCGGGTGTGTGCGGGTGTGTGCGGGTGTGTGTGCGGGTGTGTGCGGGTGTGTGCGTGTGTGTGTGTGTGTGTGTGTGTGTGTGTGTGTGTGTGTGTGTGTGTGTGTGTGTGTGTGTGTGTGTGTGTGTGTGTGTGTGTGTGTGTGTGTGTGTGTGTGTGTGTGTGTGTGTGTGTGTGTGTGTGTGTGTGTGTGTGTGTGTGTGTGTGTGTGTGTGTGTGTGTGTGTGTGTGTGTGTGTGTGTGTGTGTGTGTGTGTGTGTGTGTGTGTGTGTGTGTGTGTGTGTGTGTGTGTGTGGTGTTTGTGTGTGTGTGTGTGTGTTTGTGCGTGTGCTTGTGTTTGTGGTTGTGTGTTTGTGTTGGTGTTTGTGTGTGTGTGTGTTTGTGTTTATGTGCGTGTGTTTGTGTGTGCTTGTGTGTGTTTGTGTGTGATTGTGTGTGTTTGTGTGTGTGTGTGTGTTTGTTTGTGTGTGTGTTTGTTTCTGTGTGTTTGTGTTTGTGTGTGTGTTTGTGTTTGTGTGTGTTTGTGTTTGTGTATTTGTGTGTGTGTGTGTTTGTGTTTGTGTGTGTGTTTGTTTGTTGGTGTGTGTGTGTGTTGTGTTTGTGTTTGTGTGTTTGTGTGTTTGTGTGTGTGTGTGCTTGTTTTTGTGTGTGTTTGTTTGTTTGTTTGTTTGTTTGTTTGTTTGTTTGTTTGTTTGTGTGTGTGTGTGTGTGTTTGTTTGTGTGTGTGTGTTTGTGTTTGTGTGTTTGTGTGTTTGCGTGTTGTTTTGTGTGACAAATGTGTGCCCTGATTTCATTGTCAGCAAGTTGCGTGTTTGCCCTTTTGCCCTTTTTTGCGCCCCCTTCAGTACCAACCAAAAAATATACAGGCAGCATAAGTCTGGCCAAGATTAAATGGCAGTTTCCTTCTGGCCCTTACTTCATGAATTCGAAGGGCAGCTTTGAAGATACTCAGCTTCCCTAATCCGAGCAGTAGCTGAGATGAGAACCTTCAAGGGTGCAAAGCACGCTTACGAATCATGTAATGTGTCTACTAAACGGCCCTTAATGCATGGAGTTCTCCCGTGTTTGTCCTTCTTTTTGCACGTTGGGTGGATTGGCGTCTACTTTTAGCACAAGCCAATTTCGGACACCAATTTCCGACACGGAAAAGCAGGCGTAACTGGACAAAGTTGGGGAGGGGTTGCACGAATCTGGTTGGACACACGCCGGGGACGTGGCTTTGGCGACATACCCCGCCGCCACAACCCCATGAAATCATTGGGCCCGAAGTGTGCATACAAAAGGGGCGGGCGCCGCACGTGCGTGGTGAGGACTTCCAGTCAGCCACTGTGGAGGTCGTGATTTGCCGCGCTGGGTCTAAGCATTTTCTGCTTCCTTGGGATTGCCTGGCTCCGGAGGAGAAGGAAGATTGGCCACTCGGCTATGGCCAGCGCGGACAGGTTGTGCAGCGGGGGTCCAATTGAGACTTAGGCTGTGTCGCAAACCAATCATGCTTATGCCAGGTGGTAGTTCTGTTTCCCTTGCCGTAGCCTCCCACGGCCACGTTTTGGGAGGGATCCGGCTTTGGTATGAGAACGCCTGGGGGCTCCGGGCTTTGCTTCCGAGGTTACAGCTGGGCATCACCCGTTCCGTGCTGAGCCTTTTCTGCAAGCCTTGAGGCGTGGCTCGCAGGAGATCGATATCCTCGTGCTACAGTTTCTTTTTTTGGGAGCTCTGAAAAGTGGTTGGTGGACATGAATTTCCACCGGTGTCCACCAAAGGGTCCCCAAGTAAAATTCATGCCCATTTGTGGGTTCCTTGTGTTGCTTCTAAGTGGCTGCGCAAGAATGGATCTCGTTGGAAGACTGTCAGCGAACCAATGTTGGTTGGGTTCAAGGGTGCTAAAAGGAAACAATGAGACTTTCCCAGCCTTCAGACAAATCCCAGTTGTCAGTCACACATTTGTTCCTTTTGGTGCGGTGGGTCCCCAAAAAGTTGCAAACCCCAGAACGGTTGTGTTTACTGCACTGAGGAATGCATGGGTTCCAACAAGGGGGGACCCTCAGCATCGGGTGTTGCCTTTGGTTTCCCTTTCAAACCCCGGAAAAGGTACCCTGGGCAATGTACAGGGACCCTTCTTTCGGGAGCGATTCCCGGCATGAGGAACGTCCTGCATGCAATCCATGCAACTGAGGGACGAGGATGTGCCCAGTGGCTTCGTGCTTTGGCTGAGCCAGACAGGAAAAGGGCAGGAGTCAACTGGGACAGCCCGTCATGTTTAGTGTCAAGCACCCGAAAAGTGCGTACGTTAAATAGCACTGCCATCACTGCCCCGTAAGGGGATGGCCATTCTTTATTCCTGCTAGACCGCCTGAAGGTATCCTTTTTCAGGAAGCCGCAAGTAAATTATAGGCGTCCCCTTGTTTGAAGAGATGCCTGTAGAATTGCCAACGTTATCTTCTTGTGATCAGGACTTCAATTTGGTGTATAGTGCCCGAAGCCCCCAATTCAGGGCCAGATGAATCCGGCACACACAGACACCCCGACACTGACGTGGTTTTTCACATTTCAATCGGAAATCTGCGCCAGGATGTATAGAAACCAAAAGGACCACAATTTTGCTGTCCTCTAATAGAGACACACCCACATGTTTGGAGGGTGCACGCTCCCAACATGGAAGCTTCCAGGCTGTGCATGACGCTGTTGGTTGGTAATGAGGGAAAAAGCATGCTAACATCCCACATGTTTTTGGGCACCCGGCAAGTAAGCCACGCAAAGAAGAAACACACACACACACACCCACACACCCACACACCCACACACCCACACATCCACACACCCACACACCCGCACACCCACACCCACACCCACACCCACACCCACACCCACCACACCACACCCACCACACCACACCCACCACACCCACCACACCCACCACACCCACCACACCCACCACACCCACCACACACACCACACACACCACACCCACCACACACACCACACACACCACACACACCACACACACACACACCACACACACACACCACACACACACACCACACACCACACACACCTCCGTTGGGAGCACACACACACATAGACCAACACTGGAGGCGTGTTTGGAGGGTGGTGTGATTGGGGCCGGGGTCTATTGAAAAATACAACTGACCAAGGAAGCCCTACAGGAAAACCTTATGGAAAAACGGAGGACCCAAAAGGAGAAGCAGTTGTAAACAACGTGCCAACCCATCAAGCTATGGTTGCAACCTCATTTGTTGGCAGGCGCCCAACCAACCCGCATGTTAGACCCGGTTGTTCACTGGCGATTTTGGTTCAAGAGAAACCAACAGCCGTTTGACCTTGTGCCTTTCCCATGTTGTCATCCCAAACGGTTACCCTCGTATGCCCAGGTCCTATGGGAAGGCAGCACCCAAACTTGGCCAGCATCTGGGGTCAGAAAATCCTGTGTTTCGGTGAGGTGGGGGGCCTCACCTCTTCTACCATTGTCAAAGTCCAGAGGAGCAACCCCAGCCGACTTGAAAAATCCCCACAAAGGAGGTCAAACTGATGACCCCCATCAAAGGAGGTCGACGAGCCAGACCCCTGGCAAGGTCAACACCGAGTGGGCTGCCTTGAGCCCCTCGCAGTCCGCGGCGGCAGAACGCATCGGCTACCGGCCATGGCTTTGGTGACGCGCTTGCCGTGTTTCCGTGCCGAGCGCGGAGCGCCCAAAGCTCTCGGCCGGGGTGGTTCTACCTGGTCTCATCTTGGCTGTGGTTATGAAGAGGCCCATAAAAGTAAATGCGACCAATTTGGAGAACCAAGCTCACTCTCACTCACTGTCATGCGTGTTGTCGGCGCGGCAAAGAACACAAATCAACCGGCGCCAGAATAGGACGCCAGCCTTGAACCAAAAGTCAATAGGCTTTGGGCGCTGATCATTTAGCCGACCTTGGCTGAGAGCCTTTGGCAGCTGGGTGATTCCCAGATTGCGCCGCGTGCGGGAAAATGAGCTTTGACCTGGCCGGCCCACGGGGCCATGTTGCTGGAAATGCGTAGGGTGTCAAGGGCACATTTTCTTCGACACCAAAGGATCCTCCATTTGCGAAGATGTGGCCATGGACATGCGCAGGGCTTCTTACATTTCCACTTTAAGCGTCGTTGAGGAACTCACCTAGTTTTTCTGCCGCGAGGGGAATCAGGCATTCCCTGGTTGATGGTTTGGGCATTTGAAGCCCTGAGGTTCTTGGCACCTGCAAACCACCAGGCTAATGGGAAGAGGAATGAGGCATCAATTGAACCCCCTAGAGGGTAAATTTCAACTTTTGGGGCTGGACCATTTTGGTAAACCAGCAAACCAAAAGTTGAGTTACTTTTTCTGGCCAATCCACTCGATTGGAAGTGAGTAGTTGCCAACCTCTCACCACATATATATATATATGTATCAATGTTACGCATGAACAAATCGTTGTTTCAATCTGTTTGTGCATTGATTTGTTTATTCTTGTTTCCAGGAGCCCGGGTGTTTAAGCCGCCGGGGAAGGCTCCCAACGGATTCGCCGGACAGCGCCAGGCGGGCTCCAAGGGCCTGGCGCAGGCCTGGGCCAAGCTCGAGGCACGCCAGCGCGCCTGGCAGGAGGAGCCCTGGATCCCAGCTGCTCGCGGCTCGCCGTCGCTGAAGCAACATGAAAACAACACCTGTTTTCCCTGGGTGTCCGGAGGTTTTCTAGAAAGGATCCCTGGAAAGAATGGGGAAGATACCCCAACAATCGATGGGCCTGGAGACATGCAAAGAACATCCGGCTTTTGGGCTCAGGGCACCTCTATTTGCTGAATGAAGCTTCGCCGGGAGAAAGAGAGAATCACTAGATGTCCAGTAGGGATGAGGGAGAAAGAAAGCTCCCTAAGTTACAGAAATGTCTCTTTTCGACCACGGTTTTGCGGGTGGGTGTGTTTGGTTTTTATGGCAGGGGCATCCATCGTGCCATTGTCAGGTAATTCTGAGTTGGTGACTTGGCTTGGTGGGATTTGAACCCATCCCTTGTGAATCCAACGGGGGAAGGTGTGTACAAACCACCCAATTAATTGGAAGGAAGCCGATATATGGTGTTTCGTTGTTTCATTGTGTTGAGGTGTGCCATTTGTTTGCAATTTCGTGAACTTTTTGTTTGTCTTCTGTTTGTTTTGTTGTGTGTTTCATGTTTGTTGTCGATGAGTGGGGGGGTTCTCCCTACGTGGGATCCCGGATCCCCTCGGAGTGTTTTTCCTTTGGAAGTTCAAAGGAAAGCAACCTGAGGAAATTGATCCTGTTCTTGTTTGGGTACCCCATGCGTGGGATGCCTTTGGGGGGAAACCCACCATAAATCGGGCCCCTATTTTGGCACTCTCGAATTGTGGGGGAAGAGTTTCCGGGTACCGGGGTGAAAGTAAAGGGCACTAGTCCCGTGGCCAGTCAAGGGCGCGTCCTCCCAACTGAATCGCTGCCGTTTGCTAGTTGGGGCCGAACTGCAGCTGACAGAGTCCGACAGGGAATTTGCCCAGAATTTCACCCTCGATCTTCGTTTCGGAGCGAGGTCAAATCGTTGAAGGATAGGTCCAGCAAAGGGGTCTTTAAGTCTATGATTCATGAATACTACCGTTTCCTATTTGACGCACGGTGTAAGGCTTTGTAAGCGTAGGCAGCTACTGTAGGCATTCTTAAATCGGCTTGGTTGAACAAATGGGGTCCGCTGGCATCAGTTTGGTTCTGTTTGTTTACCGACCTGTTTTTTTTGTTTGCCACGCACATGGTATTGCTCATCGTTGGCGTCTTCGCTTTGAGCGCGTGGCGAGGCAAGAAGCTCGCGAGATTGGGCTTTTGGAGAAGGAGGAGGACTTGATGCGGACGTGTTCCTTGGGGAAAACCCTTTGTCAGGCTGGTTCAGACACCAGCCATCTTTTGGGCTCCCCTATGTTCAAAGCAGCTGAAATAGGGATTGGGACCCAACAAAATGGGTGGGTTTACTTTGGTATCCTTGTAGGCAAAGCGGGGAAAAAGGTGCCCTCAAAACACAAACACGGACACAGACACAGACACACAGACGCACAGACGCACAGACGCATACACATACACATACACACACACACACCGACAAAATCAGCTAAACATGTTGCGTGCATGGCTTTTGGTGGAACCTTCTTTGGGGATTTTACGGGGTTCACAGCAGGAAGGTCAAGGCCTTCTCACCTGCTTGATAAAATCCCTCGAACTACGCCTTTGATCCATTGGTTGGCCTCCCTGTGTTATGCTTTTGGTCTAAAGCATCAGCTTTTGGGCCGATCTTCAGCAAGTTTCCTTTTGGGTGCTGTTTCAAAGGGAAAGTATTCGGAACCCAAGGAGTCCAACGCATAGGCTACGATCCCTCACCCCTGGATATGCAGAACTTGGCTAAAGTCAGCTGCCATGGCACACCCCTGGTGGACACAAATCCAAAGTGTTTCGTCGGGAAATGAGCCGCACCCAGGTTCAGGTCCTTCTTGGGGCAATCCTGGCTTCCTTACAGTGTACATATGACATATGTGTACATCTCGAGGGGATGTCAAGATTACTTTGCAGGAAGCTGTCCCTTTCAACTGTGCCTTTGGAGGATTCATTTGTCCGGATGTCGCTCCAACGAGTTTGGACAAATCGACCCCCCCCCACCCCTTGTCCCTGCACCCGTCGTCCCAGCGGCCGGATCGGCTCAAATGGCGCCATACGAGCCATGCGGAAGACCAAGTCGAAGAGCCCAGGCCGCCCCAAGAAGTCGGCGAGCCCCTCGATTTGCAGAAACCAAAGCGACCTCCTCTCAAAACCCAAAATGGGCAGCGGAAGCTTCCCGTTTTGGCCCGTGTGTTGTGTCGGGTGTTCCTTTTGTGGTCACATCCGGTTTAGTGTAAATTGAACCAGTGGCACCTTCCTCAACAACTGACTTGTTCAAAAGAAACCCCTTTTTGGAGTTCCCATGTGTCAAGGTCCAAAGGCTGCTCACCTTTTATGCGCTCCGGACAGGGCAGAAAGATGTCAGGGTGTTCAAATGGGACATGGGTAGTTTTCCTGTGGCTTCCCTTGAAAAGGAGAACCCACCAAAAGGACGTACCCTGCAAAATAGATGGTTGAATGTCACCTGACGGTGTCCTTATATTTTTTGGGGGTGTTAAATTTGTCCTTTTGGAAAGGCAAGTTTCGTGGAGTTTCCCTTCGGTGATGTGATCCTGGCAGGGACTTTGGAAGGAAAGAGCATGTGGGTTTTGTCCAAATGGGAATGCGAAGCTCCAAATTAGGGCTCGGGGTCCAAGCTCCACTGAAGTGTGGCCTTATGGAGTGCAGAGGTTGACTGGAAGCGGTCAATTGAGGGCTTGATGAGGGGCAACTTGTCACAATGAATCACCCATGACCACCTACGAGCCCATCGTGATGTTCATGAGGCTTGCGGTTCGAAACGCTATTATATAAGCTTAATCGGCAACGTACCACATGAGGATACACGCCCAGATGATGTTTTCCATGGCAAGCTCGCTGTTGCACAGTAAGGGGGTTTAATTACGATAAGAGAAAAAGGAACAACGACAAGAACACGTGTAACAATCAAATGGCCTTACGGGACACAGGATGAAGGGAGGATGAAGGGGAAATGAAGAGAAGCATCAAGAAATAACATCGACAGGTAAATGAAGGAGAAATGATGGGGAAATGAAGGAGAAATGAAAGGGGAAATTGGGAAATGAAGGAGAAATGAAGGGGAAATGAAGGAGACATGAAGTGAAGTAGAAATGAAGGGGAAATGAAAGAGACATGAAGGAGACATGAAGGGGAAATGAAGGAGAAATGAAGTAAGGAGAAATGAAGGACACATGAAGGAGACATGAAGAAGAAATGAAGGGGAAATGAAAGGGAAATGACCGGGAAATGAAGGGGAAATGAAGGAGACATGAAGGAGAAATGAACCATGAAGGAGACATGAAGGAGAAATGAAGGGGAAATGAAGGAGCCATGAAGGATCTCTCTCTCTCTCTCTCTTTCTTTGTTCTGTTTTTTTGTTTTGCTAGACAAAGCGAAGCCCCGGAACACCTATGAGCCGCCTTCGTTTTCCTTTCGAAGCACCGCACCTTATATGATTTTATTGTGGAGCGCTCCAAACGAGGTTGGTGGAAATCAATCGCCAGGCAAGCAATGTTTGTCCAAAACAACATTACTTCGCCCTTTTCTGGCGCGCTAAAACCAACCCACCGTGTAGTCCTTTACTTGGGACTCCCTTCTTTCAGGTTTTGAAATTCTTGTGAAATGTGTGGATGAGTTCTTTTGAGGGTACCCTTTTTGGGGTTGATGAGGCCTGCCAGTTCTGAAGAAGACCTATGTGGCGCCTCTGCAGCTTTGCTCTGTGAACATCGCCAAGCATAGCTTCTCCTTCCGCGATGTGCGCAAAGGGATGGCCCCTCGGTTTTTGGATTGGAACCAGACCAACATGTGTCGATCGATTTGTGAAACCAACCCTGAAAAGGTACCCTCCAGAGCTAGGGCCTCCAGAGCTAGGGGCGCAGGTTTGGTTTTTGTTTCTATTTCCCGAGGTGTCATTCTATTTGCGGGTGCCAAATTTTGAGCGCAGACAAAAGGACCCATATCCTGGCTGCAGGGGCCTAGGCGCGTGCATACCTGAGGTTGGCGTTGTTGTCGAGACTGGTTTTTCGGGGATCGTGCTGCGTGGCTTGTTTCGTAGGAGGGCGCCGGTGCGAGGCCGGTGCGAGGGGTGTGTGTTTCGTTGAGTGCGTGGTGCAAAGGACAACCAACAGGGAACCGTCCTTTTGCGGGGCTTCCCTGACAAGACCCCACAAAATGGGTGAGTGTCCTAGGTGCAGAAGCCCTCCAAGCGCCGGCTGCCCTTCATGTCGGCGGAGCGGGGCATCGAGTGGGAACTGGCGGCTGCCACGAAGCTGCCGCCCCCCAAGCTGCCGTCCCTGCGGAAGGTGATGTCCTCCATCCACAGCCTGGGCCCCCGGCCGGCGGAGAGGTTTTGTGCGTCGGTTGTTTGTTTTGAGGGTGCCACGTTTTGTTGTTTGTTGTTGTTGTTGTTGTTGTTGTTGCTTGCTGCTGCTGCTGCTGCTGCTGCTGCTGCTGCTGCTGCTGCTGCTGCTGCTGCTGCTGCTGCTGCTGCTGCTGCTGCTGTTGTGTTGTTGTTGTTGGTTGTTGTTGTTGTTGTTGTTGTTGTTGTTGTTGTTGTTGTTGTTGTTGTTGTTGTTGTTTGTTGTTGTTGTTGTTGTTGTTGTTGTTGTTGTTGTGGTTGTGGTTGTGGTTGTGGTTGTGGTTGTGGTTGTGGTTGTGGTTGTGGTTGTGGTTGTGGTGGTGTTTAAAGCGAAAATGAAAAGGAACGCCGCCGTTTTGGGCGGGGGGGTCCCTGAAAAAGGGACACCTACATTTCCGCCCTTTGGGCAGTTTTAAATATCACCTTTCAGTGCCAGATGGTGAGTTTTGTTTGGGTAGGGTGGTGTTTGGCATTGCGACTTTTGGGAAATTATGTTTCGCATTTTTATGCATGAGGGTGGGGGGGGTTGAGCCATGCGATCCAGTAAGTTATTTTGTGTTTTGAGTAAAGTGACAAAATCGTCAAAATCAACCATTAGCCTTTTTTGTGTGGGCTGCCCGTGTCACAGATCAAGGAAATGGGGCTGGGCCAATTTGCTCGATTCTCTGGGATGCTCAGACATTCACCCGGAGATTAATATTTTAGTGGCAAAGTAGTCATAGGGATGAAGCGCGTTGGTATCGCAAGCGTATGCATAAGAAAGTCGACCAGGCAGGGTACGCCTCAGCGGTACTTTTGTTTTTGGTTTGCGGACTGTTTTCAGTTACTACTGACTGTCCCTCTTTTTCCTGGAGCTGTGACATCTAGTCGAAAGCATTCACGGAACTGACCGCCGGTCAAGTCATCCAAGAGCAGGCACCTGGCTCCCTGAGGCAAGATTATTTTGGACAGTGTGTGTCCCCCCAACTCCACTCCTAGTTCCAGCCTCCCTCCTGCAAAGAGGGCCGTAAGTGCAGATGAATTGTCCTCGGAACCCTTCCCTTGCCTTCAGACATTGCATCAATGGATGTTTCCAGCTGACACCTCCAGGCATGAACTTGTCCATGGAGATGTCGCAGACCATCAGCAAGGGCAGCCTTCGCTCAAACCCCGCTTTTGGCGGGTCTGGGCCCCTCGAAGAGGGGCCTAAACTGCCGATGAAGCACAGCACACGGCGCATGCAAGGCGCGATGATCCTAGGGAATTGAACACATACTGCTTGGCCTAGCTTTTGCATTTGCATTTTCCAGCCATATCCTCAGACTCTTGGAATTCAGATTGTCGGGCGTGATGGCATATCCTGCTGAGAAGTTGAACTTTTGTTCAAGCGATCAATGAACCACTAAGGTGCAGCTTCTTCATATGAGCCTTCAGAAAAGTCACCAAATGCTGTTGCGAAAAGTGCTTCCTTAATTATGCTCATTGTGGGGAAACCAACTGCAACTCATGATCCATGGCTGGGCTTCTGTTGGTCCTTGCAGTAGCTTCGGGCATCAACTGTGTTTGCGTTGAGTGGGACATTAACTAGTCCCGTTCGGGCCTACCAGTTCACACTTCCTTTCGGCACCTATCAACAAAAAGCAACTACATGTGGGTTACACAATTTTCCGGCCGAAAACGGAACAATTGATTTCATGTGTTATCCAAAGTAATTAGAAGGCCGCTTTTCTCAAGTGGGGCTCCTTCTGCTCCCATTTAACAACTGACCAATGGGGGCCACACCCTTTGCATCCAGCCGCGACAAAAATCCCACATTCCGCAGCCTATGTGGGAGGGGTCCAACTCTTTGTTTTTTGTTTTTGTCCCTTGTGGGAATGCGAGAAAACCGAATTCCAAATCGTTACCCCCCCCCCCTCAAAAACTGGGCCATCCATACCCGTGCTTATATTTGTCCATACCATCTTGCGCAGAATAAGCATCGCCTTTTGGGACATGTGTTCAATTCGTGTGCCCGTGATGGATGTTCACAGGGACATCTGCCAGATTATTCAGTGGCACTCTCCAAGTCTTTGTTTGGGGGCTCTGGGATCTGGTAAAAATGTCGGGACACTGGCTGCGACTGCGCAAAAAACGCTGCACATCTCCACTTGTTTTCTTCAACCCTAACGAAGCTGCATTTTATCAAGTTACTGGTTGCAACTGGGTAACTCCACCTCGCGCAGGCCTTATGCAGCAGAAGACGCCCAAGTTGGCCCGCTCTAACCCCCCCGCGAAACGGGGCAAGAAGCAGAACTGGGCGGGAGCAGAGACAGAGCTGGTGGAGTACAACGAGCCGGAGGCAGAGAGAACACAAACATCACCCCACTTAGTGGTGGAACAAATCGGGGATCTCCTCGTGAATTTCATGTTGTTTGTGCCGTTCTTTTCTTGGGGGTCGGGAGGGGGCGGAGATCGGCGATTTCCAAGGCTCCGCTCTAAGAATGGTTAACTCTCTAGAGTTGGTTAACTTTCTACAACTGATTGACTTTATAAACACTTGAAATGGTTAACCCTCAAACAATTTGTTGCCTCTCTCAACAGGATCAACCCTCTAAAAAAGATTAACCCTCTACAACTGATTAATCCTCTCAAGATGCTTAATCCTCCCAAAACTGATCAATTTGCAAAGGGTGAAGCTGGTGAACCCTCCAAACATAGTTAACCCTCTAAAACTGGTCATCCCCACAAATGCTTTCCTTTTTCTAGGGTCAGTGGTTGCTCCCCTGAACATTGTCACAAACCTTTGGCCTTTTGAGGCTGTTTTACTACCTGCCTTGTTGACCCTCTCTAGCGAGCTTTATAGGACCAACCATTGCTGTATGAACTACCTTTCACCTGAGCACTACCCTTTCAACTCCACCTTTCAATCGAAGACAGCATCTCCAGGAGATTTTCCCAGAAATTGCGCAACCCAACAAAGCTTGGGTTTCGGCTAACGGCCGACTTCCAGTATTTCCTGGAGACAGCTTAGATTACACATATGCCCTAAGGGTCATGACCCCTCCACACCCCGGACCCTCCAATGGAGAACTCCGACCTCTTAGGGACCCTTGAGAACAACCAGCAACCAGGTTTGAAGGCCCAAAAAAAATCGAGACCCTTAGGGTACCTATCTTCCGTTCCACGTGCGAGGAGTCGCACTTGGAGGAGGCCCCGGGAATTCCGGACTCCGACTCGAGCCTCTCCTCAAGCTCGGGGTCGTCCAGCGCACCTTGGCTCGGGCAAAGATACGATGGACCCGATCCCATTTGGCAACACACGGGAAAATCACCAAAAGCATGGGACATGATGATCAATGAGAGGTTTGCCTGATATGGGTGTGTCTTTTTGTTGAAGTCCGGTCCCCTTGGCTTGAAGGAAAATCCAAGGGAAACAACTGGGTAATTAACGTGTCACAGGCGCATTTCCCCACAAGGTGTTTGTGGGTCTGTGACATTGCTGACTTAGAGATCGACGCGTCCTGAAATTTCTGGGGTTGAAGCGATTAGATAGATTCTCTGGAGGTAGGAGTCGTTTGCACCCTCTGTCCGTTTTCTTGGGGCTGCAACGCTTACTTCGGGGCTTGGAATTATATTGGGATTTGCAGATTTGAGGGGGTCACAGAATACCATTGGGCGTGGAAGCCCCCTTTAGACCACCATTGAGATTGTGTATTTGCAAGGTGTCGCTTTAATGCCCACTGGTGGTTGGAACACGGAGAGTTGTGGTTGGCCTTAAATTCATTTAGACACTTTGCGCTGCTTGGTGCACAAAAAAGGAACACGAGCTTCCTAGTCATGCTAATGATGCGTGATTTGATGTTCACATAAATTCCCGTTTGCTTAAGAAGATGTTTTCATATGTTTTCATTCCCCCTACTGGTGTTAAAGGGAACCTACGGTGGATGACCAAAAAATGCAAGCAAGGCAACCACACACGCCCAAGAAACCACTTGAAATTGCGGTAAATTTAGTGTTCCCATGTTCTCGTACTTGCAATATCTATGGCATCTATCATTTATCGTATCACTTGAAAGTTTGTCGTTTGCCAGGGCTTAAGCAACTGGAACAGGGGATGTTGTTTGTTTCATGTGTCCAGGCCTCCTATTGGTCCTATCGAATCCTAAGCAAGCGCACCTGCCCCCCCCCGTTTCGTTGCCGCAAAATAAGACCCGAACTTGCGCCTTGTTAAGGCCTAAGTTGGAAGAAACCGGGGCATGGGGGGGTTATTCTCCTGTGAAATTATGCAGCCGGTGAAGTGTAGCAAGTTGTGCAGACGGATCCACCCCAAACTCCATCCATCCAGCCATCCATCCATCCATTCATCCTCATGGCGCAGAGGATAATTCACCTCATTGAACGTCACTGAAAGGTGTAGGATTCCTCGTGCCCCAAACTCAAAGACAGCATCTCGGGACCCCGAGATATTGCACTTCGGGCCTTTTTGCTTTTTTCCCGGTCAGCGGTTCGGGCTTTGGGATTTCTGTGGGTTTCCCCATATCCCAAAAAAGTCAACCTTTATCAGGGTCCCTTGAACAGATACAATTGCGCCAGTGCAACACTTCGCCCAGCTGATTGAGAGCATCCCCTTGCAAACGGGTGGTTTTTGGATGACCTGATTTCGGAACAAACAAGATTCCAACCCTACATTTTGCCCTCGCTTGCTTAGATTGGAGGAAATCCTGCTTTGTACCCTAGATTGGACTGACAAAAATCAGAAAGCTCTAAGGCCCTAGGGACCGTTGTCCAGGTCGTTAGCACCGATCCCAGGACTCGGATTGGGGGGACGACTCCAGCGAGGAGGACAAGCCTCCGCCCACCTACCTCACCCGGGGCCGGTCCTCGGGCATGACTCGGCGCATGTCTGCCTTCGCGCCTCGGCATCTCAACTCGCTTGGGGTGGGGAACCATGGGGAGCCCTGATGTGGGATACTTCGGGGATACGGCGATCAATGGCCCGTATTCGGGTGCAGAGCCCCCTGCAACCTCCAAAAGCAACACGTGTTTAGACCGCCATCGGAACGTTGGTGGCTCTAAACTCTTTCAAGCTCACTAAATACGGAGAGTCAAACATCTACTTTTCTCTTGGGGCCAAAAGCTTGGGGTAGATGCGCTTGTTCTATTTCCCCAAAAGACGCAAAAGGGGAGGGGAGATTTCGTGTTTGTCAAACTGCCTATGTGACACCCATGGTGTTCCCAAGAAAAAGCAAAATAACTTCTTATTGTTGCCTCCAGGAGGGGCAGGGGGCCTCACGCCCTTCCGTCTTTGGGGGCCTTGACTCACTTCCTGAGTTCCCGACTTCATATATATATATATATATTGAAAACTTGGGTAGTAAACCACACGTATAGATATTTGTTGGGCCAATCCACTCAGGAAGTGAGTCGACGAAAATGAAGGTGGTAGCAAAGGTTCAAGTGTTAGGTTCTTTTAAAGGCTGCTCGAACTGCAAGGAAGCTTAGCCTGTCGTCGCTCAATTCCCACCATAAAGCGACCTGGCCGAGGCCATGATGTTGCCGCTCTTGGATAGCAACAACGAGCCCAAGCGCCGGGGCTCCGTGGCAGAGGCTTTCTTTTTCCGGGTGGCTCGGGGCCTTTTCGAGAAGGGCGGGGTTTGGGCTGTTTGGTGTGGACCTGGAAGCTTGGCCAAATTGTTGGTAAAGGTGATGTCCGACGTAGGCAGCTCAGCCTGGCGGGTTACACAGGTGGGCAACCACTGACCATCGCCGAACATCCAATTGGCAGGTGGCTTTTCCATTAGACCTGCAAAAGGTTAGACCTCGAGAAGAGCAACCCAGTTTTCGGGTCGTCGGCATGTGTTGGGCCAATTTCTGATCAAGTCCTTCTTTTTATCAGGCTAAGGCTAAGAGTGAATGCTTCAGAACATGAAAACCTGGCTTGACGTGTACATTGAAGCGTCCAAGCAAGCAGTGGCCGCGAGAGGTGCACTCTGGTTTGCAGAGTCTTGCAAACAAGGGTGTGTTTTTTTGAGGGTACCCTTTTTGGGGTCATAAAGGGAAGCTAAAAGGAAACCACCTGTTTGGGGGATTTTCCTACTTAAAGACAAACCCAAATAGGTCCGTATGAGTCGAAGTGGTGTGGTGTGGCTTGGCTCGCCATGCCGCAGCCCCACCAATTCATCCGGTGCAGGTGTTTCTCAAGACGCTGGAGGACGACGAGGACAAGCAGCTCAGTCGGTCAGAAGCAACTTTTTCAGGGCCGGTGCCCACACCCCTGGGATGGTGGCACAAAAGGGGATGAATGAAGCGGCTGCCCCCAGTTTTTGGCCGGTTTGGAGTGAGTTCAGCTCTAAATTGCGGAGCCCCGTGCATGGACAGAATCCATTGAGTGAGCCCCGTACATGGAGCCCCGTGCGGAGCCCCGTGATCGGCACCAGTTCGGATGGATCAATCCCACGGGCTAAACAACCTACTACCTGATGAGGGCTGGATTTCGTCTACCCACAGTTGCGCATTTGTTACGCACATGCTCGCCCAACCTCTCGTCAGTCCGTCCGTTTGCCTCCGTGCATTTCCCGGACCCCTACAAATGAGTCCAGTAGAATGTGACATCCTCAAATCCAACATTAAATTATACTAAATGCTGGTTTGCAGGGTTCCCCCCCCCCCCCAAATCAAAAAAGAAAGAACAATCGAGAACGGGTCCCTCAAAATTCCCTGCCACTTAGGCCCAAAAATTGCGCTTGCTGGAAATCAATGGAACATCAAAACAGCTTCCCCCAAAGGATGAAGGCTCTCTTGGGACGTGCTAAGGAAGGACGACGAGCTCGATTTTCCTTGGAGCGACGAGGAATGCCGTGCCTTGTCGGATGCACATTCCGTTCGAGTCCCAAACTGAAAGCTGCGAACGAAACTGGTGAACCGAAGTGAGTCCACACCTTACTGGCTTGTGCAGAAGAACGCTGCATACAGCACAGGCGCCCGCTGGTAATATGTGATCATTCTCCTGTGTTTCGTTGGCGCCGGCAGCGAAACACGAGGGGTGCAAATGGAGCGCCTTGCCAGCCAGGGTCCCCAAAAGGGAACCGTTAAACAGGGCATTTGAAACAATGAGGCGTTTAGGACGTGGCTCAAGCAGGGGGTTGGCCCACCCCTGCAAACTACCAAAAAGTAGCCAATCACTTTCTCGGTTGGCTGAGAATTTGAACATCCGAGGTAGCGTTTTCATCAAGTTTGACACTGACACCGACGCTTGGTGTCCGGCAGCCGTGTTTTGCCCATCGGGGCAACTTTTGATACAGAAAATCCTCCAGTTGGGATGGATGAAACGGTGTGGAATCTGGCATAAACCAGTTACCAACCAGCGCATGACGTATTCCTCCCCTGGTTCAGATGCAAGATGAAACCCCCAAAAAACAGACTTCTTCAAGGAACACTGGTTTCGGCAATCCGTGTTGCATCTTGTTCCTCACTCTTTGAACCAATTTTAAACCAGCCTCTGCGTGTGTTGGGGAAGTATTAGGCCTAGGGAGCCCTGCACTGATTGACGCACAAAAGAAAGGGCCGTTACAAAGCCAGGATGTGGACCAGCTGCAGTGGAGCAGTCGCAACAGTCCCTGTTTAAAGAAGAAAAAAAAAAAAAAAGATCATCTTTCGGGGGAATCCCTGGCATGTGGTGTAAGGTGCGGCATGCTCGACATTCGAATCGAAGCTACACGTGGGTAAGTTGATCTGCCCACTCAAAAGGTATGCGTTTTGGGTCAGATGCTCCCTCAGACGGTCAGGCAACCTCACCACCTATGCTGGAAAGCCAGGGAAGGGTACATTGCTGTGTTTCCAGTCGTCAAGAGGCTTGGGCCAGTGTCATCGCGCATGTCGCACACAAAGTGCCAAGGATGGGGAGGTTGCCACTGAAGAGCTGGAGCTGATGCTGAAGTACATGGGCTGCCGCTTGGAACGGCACAAAGTGCGCGCCTTTGCGATTGTCAAGGTCCCCCTTGCTGATTACCGGGCTCAGCTTTTCGCCCAGTTGCCCCTTTGGGGGCCCTTCATTTTCGCTCTTCACCAGCAAATTCTCGCCTGGTTTGCGGGTCCCTCGTTTGGCCCTGCCAGACCAAGACTTCACCTAGGGGAGTGATGTTGGCAAGTCTAAGTGATGGTTTTCTTGGTGGGAACACGTGCCAGACCAAGATTCCAGCCCTGTTACCTGAGGCAGGTACCAGAATCCTTGCTTGCTTCTTGTATTCAGGCAGTCAACCTCACCAGGCTCACTTTGTGACTGTACCGTCCTCCGGGTAGAGGTTCCGCCGGGTGGTTTCAGTGGCCCAAGGTATCCTTCGGCCGGGCGAAGTGGAGAGGCTGATTCATGACATGTTCAGCTATGCCACCGTTAGCTGGGAGGACCGTGAAGAGATTGTTCAATATCGAGGAGTCACTTTCACGCTGGCGCAAAATTAGACACTCGCACACCATGCTTCACAGACGCGCAGACACAGATAGATCAGGCAGCAACATGGACATGAACAGATGCAGGCGCAACAAGTGTTGAGCAAAAGCAAATCGGGTTTGGACACATCAATTTGCTACATAACACAAAATGTTGTGTTATGGCGCAAGTTAGAACTACATAGCTAGGTTGTGACACCAACAATGGCACGGCACAATGCTGGACAAAAAAAAACAACACAGCACGATACAACTCGCAACCACAGCGGATGATTGCACAAACACGACGCAGCATAGCGCATCACATCGCGTCACAGCACAGAGCAAGACCACATGCGCACACACACACGCACACACACACACACACACACACACACACACACACACGCTCGCACGACCAACCATCAACAGGCGCGCACGCACACACAATCAAGCACGTCAACACAAAATATACACATACCCAAACCCATACACAGCACAAGCACGTCAACGCAAACACGCAGACACCCAAGGGCGCAAACAACCAAGCAAAGAAGGACAGGCAGACAGACAGACCGACAGACGGCCAATCAATCAATCAATCAATCAATCAATCAATCAAGCAAGCAAGCAAGCAAGCAAGCAAGCAAGCAAGCAAGCAAATGCACAAACAAACAATCAAACAAACACCACGAAAACAAGTAACCAAACACACAGCAAAAAAAAGCAATGCAAGACACACACACAAAGCAAACAAGCAAGCAAACTGATAAACAAACCGGCAAGCAAGCAAGCAAGCAAACAAACAAACGCACCCTCACACAAACTCGCACAAACAAACAATCAATCAAGCAAATAAACACGGAAGCAAACAAACAAAATCAAACTCACAAACAAGCAAAACACAAACCAAAACAAACGACAAACAAGTAATTGATTAAAAGCAAACAAAACAGACAAACGCGCTCACAAAAGAGCAAGCAAACGAACAAGCCAGCAAGCAAGCAACCACGCAGACAAGCAAGCAAGCAAGCAAGCATACAAGCATACAAGCAAACAAACGAACAAGCAACCACACAAACGAACAAGCAAACAGCCGTTGGCGTGTAATAATCAAGTGTTTCAGTCGCACCTGTGTTTCCTTGATATGTTAAATGGGTTTCCTGCAAATTACGGTCAGCCCAAGAAAGTGCTTCCTGGCTGCTTCTCTGTTTGTACCTTCGGACGGGTTACTCGTTGCGACTTTGACGATGCAAGACGGAAGGAGTGGAACACCTTCCTGGAGCGCTACCGGGAGGCGGAATTTCATGCTGTTGGGTCATCGGGCGGGTAGATTTGTTTGCTCAGGTTTGCTCAGGGGTCTGGTTAAATCACTTGTTTCTTTCCCATTGTCGCCTTTTTGTTTTCTCAAGTGATAACATGAATTCGAGAAAAGGGGCAGCACATGAATTTGGAGAAGCTGGATGGAAGGAAGCCGCCCGAGCGCCAGGTGGACGAAAGGTATTTGCGCGCCGAGTTCGCCGCGGCGGACTCGGACAAGAACGGGGTTTTGGACGTGGATGAGCTGCACACGCTCTTGGCCAAAATGGGCTATGTGACAGATGCCGCCCCCTCAGCGCGGGGGGGCGACTCAATTCTATGTTGGTGTATCCCCTTTTCTGACACAAAGGACATTTGCGGCGTCTAGTTTTTACTCGGTGTATCATGGGAATGCCCATGTTTCTGATAGAACCGTTCCCCCCACCAAAGTCAGTGAAGAACGCGTCAATCACAAGGTCGTGCAATGGATTCAGATGTGGACCAAGGAACGAGGCCACCCACGATAAAGCATGTCCAAATCGCACATTGGCATGGGGGTTTCCTACCGTACATTTCGAAATCAGAACAGCCTGTGTTTCTTTGGTGGTGCGCCTCTCAATTCCCTCTAAGCAAACCCACGGGCGCCCTTAAAGACAGACATTCCCATGTATGTGGTGTTTTTCCTGTTCCTCCCTCACTGATCGTACTCCTGACATGGGCAGCCAGCGACAGCTTTGAACTCTGATCGGTTAATTCCAGTCTTTAGTGTTTTTTTCTCACTTACCAGAGCCAAGCATAGGATGATAATGATGTTTGGCCGGGAGCCAATGTCGTGTTCCTCGGCAATTGTTTGTTTTTTTTCTTTGGGGGGGGGGGGGCAGGCGCACACGGTGATGGAAGCCATGGAAACCATCGGCTGCAAGCAGACGGCCCCATGGCCCAAACGCGCGATTTGGGCGTTGGATGGCTTTGGGCCCACGTGAAACGTTGCCCGGATTCGAAAGGGGGCTACTTGTCTGCAGATTTACATTTATGGAATCCCTAAGGAGGGTAGGTGAACGGGGAGGTGGGGAGCCTTAAAGATTCATGCAATCCCGCCCCTTGGGCCTGGACCCTTCCTCCAAGCACGTTTTTCTAGCTTGCAGGAGTGCAATTGATATGAATGGGAACCCCGGATCTAGAACCATCTAGAACCCATGCTGGGGCGTCGGGCCCAAAAGTGATTCGGATTTCCGGGGTGCCGCAAGGAATCAACCAGCTGGGTCAACTTTTGGTCTCGGAGACATCTTTCCCCTCTGAAATTCTTGCATAGATTTAAATCCTTGGGCTCCCACGGGCGTGTGGTTTCCATGGGCGTTGTGGTTGGGTTAAAAGACCCCTTGAGATTGATAGCGGTGGGCATGGACCGCACCAGGCTTTTGATAAGTTCTGTTGAAGGCATTGATTCATCTCGTTTCTTTTTGCACAACATGGGCTACGGTGCCACCTGTGGCGCGGCATCAGCCCGATCATCCACGACATCCTAATGAGATCCTGTCGGGCTAGATGTGGGTTTGTCTCAAAATATGGGAAGCTCCCACAAAGTTGAGGATTTCCTTTTGCCTTTAAGACCATACCACAATGTACCCCACCAAAAAGACACAGTCATGTTTGGGTTTGGGAGGGCCGGGTATCTTCTTTGTGCCTCAGGTGAACCTCCGGAAGTTTGAGAAGCTTCGGGAGCACTTACGATGCACTGAAGGCCAGGGGATTCCTCAGGAATGTACCAGGATGGAGTCCAAAATCAGTTCCTGACCGCTAGGCCAGGTTGGTTTATTTTGTACCCCAAGTTTGTGCAACCCGGCGAAGCATCTAGAATGGCCCTTGTCTTTCCCTGCTGGAGGCCTCGCCAAGGATGACGTCACGCAGCTGCGGGAGCTCTACGACCGGGTGGCAGCCACGGCCAAGATGCAGCAGCGCGCGAGGAAGGTCGACCTGGGTGGCTCTGCTCGAATGGCCCCAGTGGGTTGCTTGGGTTGCTTCTTGGTTTCCTCTTTTTTCCTTGGTTTGGAGGGGGTTCAGGGTTTCCACCATTTCTCTTTTAAGGAACTTCCAAAAGTACCGATCGTTTCAACTTCTGAAGGGAAACCCAGTGACCCCCTGGGGCAACCCTTCAGTACCTTGCTTTTCCCCATTCTCAGGGATCAAGCAACAACCAGTGGCCAAACTGTGAAAATGGGACTGTCGGAGCACGTTTGTTCCTTATGCCCCCCAGTAGGCTTCACTCAGCTAGCATGGCAAGTAGAGTTTTGCCAAATTGCAAATGGTGCGACTGATGGATGTTTAGTGAGTCATACATCTTACGGCGCAGCTCAAAAGGCTTGGCTAAAGTTTGGAGACTGGATACAGGGCCAACAGCTGATTACCTTTCAACTAGGTCATGTGCGTACTTTGACTGAGGAGCACATCCTCTAATCAAAAAGCCAGCTCAAAACGTGATGCGGAGCTCGAAGGTTCACAAGCGCCTTGAAAGAGCCGAGGAACGGTTTTCGCATGCGCAGCCTCGCCTTCAAAAACGTCCAAACAGCAACACAGTTGGAAGCAGTCCTGTTTCCCTCAAGTATCTCGCCAGTCGGATTGGATTCTGTCTCAAGCCACTTTTTTACCCACCTTACCTGTGGGGAAAGCAAATCGAGACGTATTTGGGATACTCTCAAATCGGAATCTCTTGTCACAGCTCCCCTTTGAGAGACCATCTTGGTGGGACACTGGCAGGCTGCATGTCGCCCACTCGTGCTGCAGTGGGTTTCCGCAAAAGTCCTTTTGAATGCCCATGTGTAAACTCGGCCAGTTGTTTGGTTTGTTTTTCCCCAACAGCTGAAAGCTTTGGGGCCTCAGCCCAGATAGGGGGTGGTAGGCGGCCCTGAGGTAAGGTTCCACGAGGGTTCAAGGGTTCCGCAAGGGTTTCACATCCAGTTCCGCAAGGGCTATTGGTAAGATTCCACACGCAGCTAAAGATTGCACCGTCGGGCCTGGTCGGGCACCGTCGGCTGTTCCTTGGGACAGGTAAAGCGGCATGCCAAGCAAAACTGGCTGTGCGCTATGATTGGTGGCTTGGATCGGTGGTTTGCTTCCCGCGCTGCGGTCGGGCCCGAACACGAAAAAGAGCACCGCGTGTTGCTGGGGATATCACCTGAGCTTGTTTTGTTTCTGCCCGACCTTGCCTGTGACAAGCTTGACTTGAGTTGTTGTTGGTTTGGCGGGTGTAAACGCACAATCGCATGCCTGCCTCAGCAACTGACAGCTCGTCAAACCAGCATAAAACAAGAAGCCAAGCAGTTCTGGGTTTCTCCACGGAGTCGCCGGAGCAAGAATAGATGACAGATGCAGGCAGTTCAGGAAACAGATGAACGAGAACCGGTGAAGAGGAGCTCGTTTCCCAACTGTTTTCCCTCCCATCCGGGAGCGGTCCCTGCTTGTTATTTAGGGGAAACTTGTGTCGCACCTCTCGTGGGTGGGAGGGTTTATGCCAGGGCCTACAAGATTAGAATGAAGTTGTGGGATACGTTAAAACCATGTCATGACTCTAGTGGTCAACTAGTAGTATTTATTTCTGTCCGTTTTGTTTTGCGGGTACCTAAAGGTAAGCCGAAAGACACCCACCAGTTTTGGGTGGCGCAAGAATCTTCAGACATTGGGCGCCGAACAAGGCGTTGGCAGCCACAGCGACATCGCCAAGCGGCTTATTGCAGAGCAGCAGGCAACGGATGGATTTGGAGGGGGAAGAGTTCCTTACGGTTTACCCAGCACGACGAATTAAGCTAACCCTCAATGGGTGGGGAAACCACCCCAATCCAAACCGTCAATTCGGAGGAAGCTGATATAAGGCTGTCATTGTCAAGGCGCCCTGAAAGAGGCCCTCTCCCCCCGCAACGCTCACAAGGGCCAGCGACAAATTAGCAGGATGCATGATGGGATTCCAGCATCGCATCGCGGAAGTTCACACTCAGTCATTCGCAGACGCGCTTCAGCCTGCAATCCTTCCGGAAAGGTGGCGGGAAGCTCCGCCAGAACAACAAAGTCCAAAGCCAGACCCCTCCATGTAAGCAGGCGGCCAGAAAAATGATATATATATATAGATGTATGTATATATAGACGTATGTATATATATATATATATATAGATGTCTGTATTTCTTGGCCAAGAAAGAGCAGTTCGTTTTTTTCTGGGAACACAACATGCATAGCGGCAACACTGTCAAAAAGGCGGGGGGTTCCCGTGGCTTCGAAGTGCCGAATGCGTGTCCAGGAGATGCCTGTCGAGGATGTCCAGCGCGTCATCACGCTGCTTGGACGGTGCGGTCCGGACTGGTGAGGGTGGCAACGCCTGAAGGAGATTCTCGAAAGCGCGCTGGGTACCGTAAAGTGGTTTCATTTAGACAGGGCCCTTAGCAGGGATACTGCTGGGCCAGTGAAAAAGTAATCTTTGCCAGCTGCTTTGCAGGACCCTTTCATAAAGCAGGTGGTGTCTGGATGCTTCAAGGAACCCTGTCACATGAATGGTCTTCCGCCAGGCACAGGGTTCAACTACTCAAGTGCTGCTCTCAAAAGGCATCCTATGCTCTTCATGCCCCCACTAAACTAAACTCCTGGGGCCAGGTTGACATATTTGGGCTGGTTGCGGGGGCACTGTTTCCCTTCAATCAATTTGGGTGGTGAATTTGATTGAGGTCAAGGCTCCAACCTTGAACCGTTTTGATGCTGTTTGAGTCCGGTGTGAGCCTCAATCAGAAACTTGGGAATTTGGACCAGACTGCTTTGTTCAAAATGGGTCCTGGCGCTTAGCCAGATGGCACCGTTTCCCTTGTTGTGGTGCCCCACGGGCTGCGACCCCATTTGAACTACCTCGCTGAAGGACTTGTATATGGCCTTTGGTGCTGGGTTTTGTGGAGGATGCCGAAACAGCCAGTCATCCTCCAGCCTTGACCACCTACTGTTGCTGCAACCACAAGCATGAATGACGTGTACCAGGCTTCTTCACTTGGGCCTGGCTTCTTCAGAATCAGAGACGGGCAGAAGCAAACCATGGCTACCCCTCAATTGGACATTCGTGGATGTCTCAACGACAGAGGGTAACAGATAGTTGCCGCAAGCCTGCCAATGGCAAATTGCGTGCTCCTCCCCCCTGCCAAACATGTTCTCTCGGTCAGCGAGCCATGAGGCCGTTCGGACCCGCAAGATTCGCCAGCCAAGCTTTCATTTACTGATTCAAAGCCATACTGTAGGTGGACGAAATCCTGCACCACTTAGCTGTATGAAACCCTACAAATAATGGGCTAAGCCTGACCTCCTACCAACTAGTGCAGGATATGGTCCACCACAGTCTCGGCTATCGGGGTCCAATACGGGAGCCATGGCAACTTGACTAGAGGCGTTGGGGTCAAGCCTAGCTCAAAAGGGCCGGCGGGCAAAACACGCGGGCGGATCAAGAGTACAGTGAGTCAAAGGGGATCCGGCAAGGAGGAACAACAAATTGAAGATCACACTCAACTCCTAAACGATGTACGGCTATATTTCTAAGGCCGTGTTCCCCAATCTCAGACAGTCTTCTTCGCATACCATGTTAAGCACTGTGCTGCACCTCAACGAGGGTCCCGGTAAGCTCAGCTAGCGACAGAGAACAGGCAAAATAATTTGCAAGCAACATTGTGGCAAAAACTCCAAACGCAAACACCAGCAGGCCATACGAGGCCAAAGGATGACTCAGACAACATCACAACATCACAAAGCATCACGTAGTCGCGCAATCATGGAACTGCCATCGGTTTGGTCATGGCAGGAGGGTACCGTTCAAGAACGGGCGATCAAGTCTCAAAATAGGGCACCCCCAAACGACAGGGATTTTCCCACCACCACTCAAAACAAAAACGAGCATAAAGAAATAGGTGATGTTCCGGCTTAGGTTCCTGGGCTACTCAGTGTCCACGGACCGGGTGGATCAGATCACCCGCGAGGTGGACAACGACCTCAGCCGCTTCATCTCCTTTCAGGAGCTCGGAGTAAGGCAGTCTGCTCGTGTGGATTCGGTTTGGCTTGGAACGGCTCCAAACCACCGGCCTGGAAACCGAAAGCTATTTGAGGGAAGCTGAAATGTCTGTGTAGTTTGTTGAGGGAATTCTGTTTTGCTTGGTATACAGGGAAACCAAAAGGAAAACCGAAATGAGTTTGTCGTCCGGATCCTAACAAAGGCAGACCCTAGCGGTTTTTGTTGGATTTTGTAGACATTTGAGCCGATTCAGCGAGACAGATTCCTTTTGAAGCAAAAGAAGCGGACTTGCCGCTTCCTTTGCCTTTAGCTTTTTGAAAACATGTGGGCGTGTCTTCTTGTTGAGGGTACTCCTTTTGGGTTGGTTCTAAAGGGAAGCTGTAGGCTAAAAGGAAGCTTTCCATTTTCAGGGTTTCCCTACTTTGAGACAAACCTAACTATGGTTTTTAGGCTTGGCTAAATATGACACTGGATCTGAACGTCTTATTTGCTGTGTACCAGATGATCCGGCCATAGCAAGGACAGTCAGTTGGCATATCGACCCCCAAGGCGCGAGCACTGTTCCTGTTGACTTGGTATGCTAGCTGAATATGCTCGAACGGACCGGGCCAAGCCACTATGCGCAAATTATAGCGAATGCACGTATAGGGCTAAAGCGCGCTATGATGAAGGCCCCGATCTGTTGCCATTTTTGCTTCTTGATGAAGTACATCGGTGTCTGCCCAAGCTCTGCAATGGTTCGGAGCCTTTCAGGGTGGGTTCCAGGGGGGGGGTTGACACTTTGGGTTGTTTTTTCCAGGATAAAGGTCCATATGAACAGTTTTAGCATTGGTTCTGAACTTCTCGAGCCAATGGGACGGTCGATCCCTCACGCCTTGAGTTAGGGATTGCACACAGCTACCGGTAAGGCTTAGCGCCTTGAGCCTGTGGATGTGAAACAAGTTGGTTAAACATTTTCACATACTTTGGATGGACAAAATCGGCACCAGGGGGATGGACACCACCTACGAACTGGTGCAGGATTTTGTCCATCCACAGGCTGCAGTCCCCGTTGGCGAAGCCAAACCAGGGGCCGGTAGATACATTTCCGGCTTTCTTCGAGCACAGACCCCGACATTGCAAGGCACGTTGCTCAAATATTGCTTGATGAAGACAAGCAAGACTCTGGCCCGTCGTCCTTTTGAGGCTATCTGATTGTAACAGTGAATGGTTGCCCCCTAAAAGTGGAACAGAACTCCTTTTGAGTATGCCTTTTCCCCTTTGTTTTTCAACCCCCAAAAAGGTTACCAGGATTCCCCTTTTTCGACCAGGGTCACTTAAGCAGCACTCAAAACCCGCCGGGGTTCTTCTGGTCTCACATGGGGATATACTGAGGACTATGAAGCTTCAATCGGCTTCCACTTGCTTAAGAAGATCTGTTTTCCCCCTGTCGGCTTTAATGGGTTACTTTTTCGCTACTGGAAAAACGTTGATCTTGCCCAGGCTTGAACAGCAGAAATGGAGGCGGTTCACCTTGGGGAAGCCGCCGTTTTGAAGGCCCCCATGGCAGCTGCCAGGAGTTGCTGAAGCTGATCCGCCGTGTGCGCGATGTCGAGCGGGAGTCCATCGCCGCCATGTTCGAGGTGGCGGGTGGCAAGGGTGCGAAGCACGTGGTTTCTAGAACGGAGCCCTCTTGAGGCAACCCGCTTTTTGGGGTGGTTTCAAAGAGAAGCCAAGAGACAAAGCATGTTTCTTTTGAGGTTGAACTAAGCAACTGGTTCGATTTGAAGCAAGGGAAAGCTTCCGCCGAAAGCCTCCGAAATGGGCTAGCTGGAAGCGCGGTTGCGTAGCTCATGTCCCAAGTTTCTGGACGTAGCCTTTGGAAAGATCAATGACAATCATGCGGGCCTGTCTTTGTTGAGACCCTTTTATGTGGTTTTAAACGAGTAAAAAGGGACACCAAAAAGAACAAACTTCGGCTCCGCCCAGGAAGTGAGAAATAGTGAGTTGAAGACTCCATTGGCCTTGGCTAGTGGGGATTTCCACTTGGTTACCCCAAAACCACTACCCACAAGAGCAAACAGGGCATTCAACCACTATATAGTGGGCATGCAACCGCTCTGTATACTCCCTTTTTGTTGGGGGGCCCAGGGGGGGGCCGGGAACGGAATGCCCTTCAAGAACGCTGCAACCTGCCGCAATTTACCACGGCTTGGTTGGATCAGATTGTTCAAGAGCGAAGTGGACCCGCATCTTAGCGGTTTCCGTATACCCAGGAAGTGTTTTGTGGGTTGTCGCGACCAGGTACGTGGGGGCTTTTGGGCTGGGTATTGTAGGTGGTGTGCCTTTTTTGTGTAGGATATCCCCATGTTCCTCGTAGTGAGTCTTTTGACGGTCCCTTTTAGGAGGATGTTATCGGGAAGCAAAAGGAACCCCTATTTTGAGGGGTCCCCCATCTTAAGTCAAACCCAACTGGATTTTGCCCATCCACAGCCTCAGAGCAAGCTCTTTTTTGCAGGGTAGAATGGTTCCAAGCCCCCAACCGGACTTGAAGGGAGTCTCACTCCCTGAGTTCCCTTTTTTCTCGGGATAGGATCGGATTAGTGTTGAAAAACAGGTTCCTGGACATTTTTTTGGCCCACCACAGGGCGTGAGCAGTTGGGATGGAAGCCTCGAAAAAGGTTCGGCGGCTTCGCAAGGCTCTGGCAGGGGATGGCGATCTCCCGCTGCAAGACTTGCCCCGTGGCCTCACCGAGCTCAGGCGGGCGCCTGTGGGGGGCGCCTGGGGCTTTCGGCTGGAAATGGTCACGCTTCAAGTTGCATGGTCATTGTCCTGACAATGGAGCTCAAAACGCCTCCATTCATAAAAAGGAAATCTATCCCGTGTTGGCCTTCGTCTCGTTATTCTGCAGAAAGCCATACACATCCTGGAGCCTCCATTGCTACCTTATTTTTTGCTACGAAATATTTTTGATCGTGACGCGTTCTTCTCAAAAAAACGCTCGTTTTAACAGAAAGTGCTCGAGACATCCACGCAAATGCAATTTGGTACCTGCGATTCGTAGCATTTTTTGAAGTTGCGCTCGTTTGCGCTTTTTTGCGCCGATTTGCGCTCGTTTTGGCGGCAACTTGACCATGGGGAAGAAGAAAACACGGCCGAATGGGATTTCTGCCCGAATCGTCAAAAAGAAAAGCGCTCGGAAGCGAATGGAAGGCAAAAAGTGCTACGTCGAGTCAATTTTGGTATCGAACAAGGGGGGAGGCAGAAATTTATGCTACGATGGAGGTTCCAGGATGTTTGCCAGAGACCCTATTCGGAACCCGGATTCTGGATGTGGTTTCAAAAGCCCCGGATAGCCCCGGCGCCTGGTGAGGTACTACCCCACGGACGACATGGTCTTCCACGTGCTGGATGAGCTGGGCCCGCGGAGCAAGACGCACATCAACCAGGGGGAGGTGGCCGCGACCTGAGACCTCGTTGCTTCCTTTGGCCCCAGGGGTGCTGGGTTCCCCTCAAAGGCTACGTGTATTTTCAAGCAAGGGGTTGACCAAATCCGAACTGACTTGGTTTGAATTTGGGGCAGGGGTGGCAGTGCGTGAATTGGAGCGTTCCAAGATGTTCAAAGCACAAGCCCGGTGAGGTTAGGATTCTTTATCAGTGGAAATCACACTGCCATGGGAGATGCCTCACAAATCACTTACTGGAGAAGCCGTCCAGCAGATGTCGGTTCGGGCCATCCACTTCGCCTACAACCTGTGCAAAATAATATTATTCACACAGACCTCACTGGGTTTGGTGTTGATTTCCTTCCACGGCTTCCGTACTGGAACTCTAGTGTGGATCCCCTCCCCCTGTGACCAATGCGCATACCATCTCGGTGTTTCCACCACTGTAGTGTTGCACAGTTGCTGAACTTGCTTTCAAGTCCAGGTGATCGTTTGTGGGAACATCGGGCAAGGAGAACATCGCCAGCCAAAACCCAAACACGTCAAACAAGGAAAGTATGTGGCATGCTTTAGAAAGCTGATGATTGATGCGAATGTAGTAGTAGCACATAAGGATCCAGGATCACCATAAAGAAGCATGAGTACGTACGTAAATGTTACATAAATGCATCTTCTTAGTGCATGCATGCAGGAGCAAGGAAGGCGGCATCTACCATCACAGCTGGCAAGTCAAGCGTGACATCCCGAATAAGGAAGGCCACTTTCCCTCACCGATGGCTCCAATGATACCAGGCAAAGTGGAGAAAGTTTATGTGCTTCATGCACGCCAATGTCTGGATTGAATATTGGTGGCAAAGACGTGTTTTCTTCAAATTTATATGATAAGTTAGATGGGTGTGTCGTTTTTACGGGAAGCACAGAAATGGGTGTGTTCCTGTTGATTGCTTGTTTTTCTCCACCTCTGCAGCACCAGCCTAAACACGGGCTATAGATTGTGGTAGAGTTTTCTTGCAATCACAAGGTCAACCAGAAAACCTCCCCTCGTGATTACCCCGCAACAATCATGGAACTGACCAGGCCCCGATTGGAAGACGACTTTCCCTCTGGAAAGGGGACCCAGATCTGTTGAAGAGACCTCCGGCTTTCGGTTCATCCCAAAAAGCACGGGGGGCTTTGAACAGACCTACACTTGCGCCTCACAATCGGAGGCCGTCCAAAACTAGACCAGACCTCGGCAACCAGAGCGCGAGCGCGCCGGCGCATGCCGAGTTCGCCTTCCTCTGCCTCTTCCGGGAGAAGGAGGGCTTGACCCCGGAGGAGCGGCGCGAGATGCGGCAGGTCTTCGAGCATCAATGCAAGGCACCCACCGAAGCGGGCGGTTTGGGGCGGTTTGGGGCGGTTCGGGGCGAAGTGCTTGGGGCCATTTTGGGGTCCCAAAGCGCAGCCAAACCTTCCTCTTTTTTTTGGAGGGGGGTTCCCTGCATAAAACGATCCTTCACTATATCACTATGTCATCAACCTTTCAGCGGAGAATTTGAACTACTGGACCTTCTGCAGAGACACATGTCATTTCCACAGCGAGCTCCGAGTCGGCCAACATCTACAAACACAAAAGACCAACTTGTTCTTCGTCTTTAGTTCAGCATTTCCCACAACTTGCAACGTCGATAAACAATGAAACCTATTTTGCAAGTTTGTTTTGCAGAAAGCAACTGAGTGAAAAGGTTGTGTCCAAGGCTGGACTTTTCAGCAAGTGCCTTTGGAATGGTCTAGTTCGAAAGGCAGAGCTGGAAACATGTCAATGATTGGGCCCAAAACCAGAGGAGTGATTTTCTTCAAAAGCAGGCAAAAGCTGCAGAAGCTTGCTCGCTCGGATTGTGAAAGGGCATGGGGAATGGCCTTGCTGGTCCTCCAGGCTTGGAGCAACAGCATCTCTGGCAACTCTTGGGCCCTGCTGTTTTGGTTTGGGCTCTCAACACAATTGCAATCATGTCTCGCAACAGTTGCCCTTCAAAGCATCAACTACCAAATGTTGTTTACTGTCGATGGACGAAATCCTGCACCAGCTGGAAGGAACAAACAATGAGGTAAACTACCTATCAATCGGTCCGACATGGACGCTGTCAATACACAAATGATGCGAACCAATGTGGTGTGTGTTGTTGAGAGTGCATTGTCTGGTTGGGGTAAAGCGAAACTGGAAGGAGAACAGAACCAACAATTTCATAGGGATGATTTCGGTTGTCCTTTGGCTTCCCTGAAAAAAAGGCGCTAGAAAGGGTACTGCAGCATCAAACAAACATGACACCCCTCTACTTCACTGATTTTCTCGGCAGATCACGGCGCAGCGCGCCTACGTGCAGCAGCTGGAAGATCCGACCGGCAATACCAAGCCTCTTGGATGCCATCAGGTCCCAAGAACGGAGACGACTTTGGATCCCAAGATGGGGGCGGACACAGCCAAATGGTGGAAGTACGTTCGTGTTTTCCTTTTGGGTGAATCAACAGCTCACTTTCTGAGTTTTCTGACTTTGTACTTTTTGGGAAGGGGCAATCAAGCAGTTTAGACATGTTTGGCCAGTCCACTCAGGAAGTGAGGCAATGTTCAACAAGGAAAAGCCACCATTCTTTGGGTGCCCCCTATTTTGAGACAAGCTGTAGACATTCGTCAGTCAGACCCATTTGGAAGGTAGGCTGAAAGGAAGTCCCTTTCAGGTTGTCTTTAAAGACAGTCCTGTGGTTGTGTAAAGGTAGTCTTCGAGATTGTGTTTGAGCCTGTTACCCAGTCTTGGCGGCTGAGGATGACCAACAACGGATCCCCCAAGCTGCAGCCAGCCGCGTCGCCGCGGCCCACCAACCCGCGGGGCAGCACGCTGGCTGCTTTGGCCAAAGCAAATCTGTCGGCTTGGGAACTTTGGAGTGGACGATGTTTCCATTTAAAACCTCCATTTAGATCCCTATTACGTACCCAGTGGGTGTTGGGGCAGCCTTTTGTGATACCAAGGGAAGCTTTGGAGTTTGTGGCGACTTGGGAATTTGGGTTTCGAGCGTAATTTGGCGGATGCCGCTCTGATGGATGTACACATGTAGGACGAACTTTGTCCTGCCAGGCCATGGACATTTGTGGGTTGTAGGGTGGTCTTTGGTGATGCTTTGGAGTGTGGCAGCGTCATTTTGCTTATGCACTCAGGCCATGGCTGCAGAACATGTTCTGGTTGAGGGCCCGCTTCTCTATCAAAGTGAAAAAAGAGGCACCTAACAAATCGTGCAGATCAAAAGAGGGGTGGCCCCCACAAGTGATCCGCATCCGCTAAGTTGACCAGTAGTGGTTTGTGAATCCCGCGCGTCAACGAACCGGAGTGCATCGCAGCGGGGAGTGGTTTTGGAATCCTAGAAGCCTGGCCGGGTTGGTGCGGGTTTCCTTTGAGTCCAATGTCTGCTGGGATACCCCCTCAAAAAAAATCACTGCAAGTCAACATGACACCCTCCAATGGTGGCTGAAAGGGGAAAACGCCGCCACAACCCAACAATCAAAATCAGGAGATCCCCCCAAAATTGCTGGTTCCCCCTTTAAACTAACCAAAGGCCCCACACTCAAGTCCGCCCTTTTTTGGTGAAGCCCTAAAATGTGTGGTTGTCCTTTTGCTTGTCTTTTTGGTTTCTCTTTAACTCCAAAAGGGGTCCTACAAAAAAACACCCCCACCCCTTCCTTTTGGGTCCCGTCGGTTTCCGGTAGATTTACCCTGGCCCTGAGGTCGGGCCATCTCCCAAAGCCGCCACTACTCCGTCTCCGCGGAACCTCCTTGCGGCCATTGCCCTTCGACTTGTCACGGGTGTGAAGCGAATTCACCAAACCGCCAGGTGGCCGGGGCTGATCGAATTGCAGACGGATGGCCAGTTGTGTGCCCTTTTTGGAACGGGGTGCCTGACGGTGAAGCCTGAGACGGGTCCCTTTTACAGAGTCATTTTGGGTTCGCTTTTAGGTTCACCAGGGTACTTGGGTGTTCGGCCAAGAGTAAGTTGTTGGTAACCCAGGTGAAAACCCGCTCACAGGCCGCCCGAAGTAGAGATAGTCCTTTTGTTAGTGGCTTACAGCCCCAGGTGGGGAAGGCAGCTCACCGATACGGGGAGGTTCAGATCAACAACGGGAAATTCTAGTTGTGTCAAGCCATTCTCCTTTTTGACGAAGCCCCCGCGTTCCCTTTTTGGAGATCACTTGCCCAGTGGGCGCGTTCCCCAAGGACACGCTGGTAGTGGAGCAAGAACTCGATGCGCTGCGAATGATTCTTGGCGAAGGGGCGCTCACACGCCCTTGCCGGGGATCTTGGATTTGTTTCGGTTCGCAAACGACGGCTGCTAGAATCATGACACGTTTTGAACTTGGAATCGGCTTCTAATGTTGGTTTCCACCCCCCACCCATCCATCCCGAAGGAATCGGGTGATGCGGTGGTTCGGCTTCGAGAAGCCCCTGATGCAGGCCCGGCGCTCATGCGGGGGCGACACGAGGGCGACAGCTTCTTACATCGCCTTCATTATTTCGTGGCATGGTGGCCGTATATGGTCGTGTTTTTGATGGCACCCTTTTTGGGAGTGGCACAGGGGAACGAAAAACAACCAACCAGTTTGGGGGTCCTCTGTTTTGAGACAACCCCATATTTCTCTTTCTGGAGGTATCCATGGAAAACAGCTTGGAACATCAAGAAGGCCGTTCTGCAACAACGCAGTTGCATCTTGCACGGTTCAATCTGTGCATCGCATCCGAAAAGAACCGTTTGATCAGAACTCATGTAGGGTCACCCAAGACACATCCATGTTTTTGCTTGTGACTTGGTGCTTGGCAGAGTAATTGTTGCTGGGCTACTTCCCAATTGGGACCCGGATCCCCATCCCCGATACACATTTCTTTGCCGCCTGAGGTTCAGGACATGATGGCTAGCATCGACTTGGATGCCAAGGGCAAGCTGAGTTTCGAAGAGCTCCTCGGCAAAAATGGAAACTGATTCAGCAGTGGCGTCATCGCGATTTGGTCCTACCGTACACTGCCTTTCAGCAAAATGATGCTAAGATATACCCCTGTAGGTTAACACAAAGGGGTGTCCCCAAAAAAAGGCTTTGGCAACAGCAACGATGTTTGTTTCGCAGTTCCACGTGAAGCTAAAGTCTGCAGAGTTGTGTCTTACATCTTTGCCCCATGTCCAGGGGGCTCCTCCGGCAATTGCCGCCAGGTTCCTGAAATTGATGAACCAGCTGTTCTCGGCCACTCGGATGGACGGTGGCATGAGGGTACCCTTATTATTGCATTAGCGTTCAGTGGAAACCAAAAGGAAACATGTTTTGGGGTACCCTCGCTCCCACGAACATAGTACCTGACAGGGAGTCCCTGCAAGCGAATGTGATCTTTCAGGCACGCTTGGACAGGTGCTATGGTAGTGGGAGTGAGGGTACCGTGATTTTGACATAACATGACATACCCCCCATTTTGCACTGAGACTTAGGAGGCGAGAGAAGAACAATGGAAGCTGTTCACCATGCTGGACAACAAGGGCAACGGCAACGTCAGCATCCCAGACAACCTGAATCCGGACCTTGGTATGTGTTGGGGTGCACAAAGTCTGTTAAACAACCGCCAGGCCTTTCCCTTCAAGCGCAATTCAAGCGCGGCTAGATGCATTGTTGTGGAACTCTGATGTTGATCCAACCCCCCCCAACAAAAAGAAAGCTTAGAGGTTTGCCCATTTGTTCCAAGGGTTGCAAACAGAGGATGTGGATGTGGTGCTCCGCAAGTTGTGTCGCGCTCTTAAACTTTTGTTGAAACAGGGCGTTGGCCTGACTGCCTAGCTGCTACCACATGAGTCCTGCTGGGCTTTTGGCTTTCAACATCCAAACTTGTTGAGGCCGCGCTTACAGGCCTAAGGGCTTCACCCATTTGACTTTGAAAGCGACGGTTGCGGTTTGTCGTGCTGCGCCCAGGTCATGATTTCCAAATTGCCCTTTGCTGTGTCGAAGCTTGGACAGCAGCTGTCTCGTCCATATGCTCGGCATGGCGTCAAGGCGGCCAAGCGGTTGGGCTCAGCTCTCAGTCTTCCCTGCTCTGGAAAACGCTAAATGCTCGTTGGCAAGTCTCATCAAATGCTTGTCGGAGGCATGGGTGTGCTGTCCAAGCGATCCACCCGAGACTTGCGATTTTCCAGGAACCAACCACAAACACTTCCTTTGACAAAGTTGGGATTTTGCTTAGCGCATAGGTTCTCTCCCAGCCATGTCAGATGAACCTCATACCTCCTTTTGGCCTGAGCTGCACATCAACATAGCTGCGCCCATCCCCGTTCCTCCACAACGGTGGGATGTCGGAACGGGGAAGGTGCTCCGTATCTCCGCTGTTTCCTCCGAACCAAACATTTGTTGGAGTTTCTTCACATGGTGGACCGCCTTTTGGCTGGCATTTGTTTAGGCAACCAACCACTGGAAACCAAGTATTTCAGAGGCGCCCCCCCTCCTCCCCCAAATGTCAGACACCCCAAGGTTCGGCGAACCCCGGCTCGGCTTCAGCCTTTAGGAAGTTGGCGCGGACTGGGGCGAAGTCGGAGAAGGCTGCCAACATGTCTGGCTTCACTCTTATGGACACGCGGGGGCCCCAGTTTGTTGAAAGCGCGCTCAGCTCTCAGGCACCAGGTTGGGAAGGGGTTTGTAACCCACTACGCAACTCAGGGACAATTTCGCGTCGCAGGTTTGCAAAGTGCCCTCTTGATTCAAAACGAGGGCGAAATGAACAAACCAAAACATCCCAGGGCTATTGAAGTCTTGGGGCGCCAGTCCACTTTTGGTGTAGCCAGTCTTTGGCAGGGCGTTCGGAGTCTGCGGCGTTCCTCCAATCCTCCCTCGCACCGCTGCTTAGAGCATATTGTAGTTGTTCCTGTTGTACCCCGCACGATAGGTTTCCCTTGCAGTTTCCTTTTGAAACTGTCCAATTTATGGGACAAGGGCGAATTCTTCGGTGGAGGAAATGTGAACGAAGCGAAGGGGCTTTGGCAGGTCCATCCTTTGGAGGTAGCGTTCAGCACATGACGCTGGTGGGGCAAATGGCAACTTCAGTGAGGTGGTGTTGTTTTTGCACGTTCTCCACGTCTGCTCCACCCCATGAGTCATGTCAATGTCTGGAAGATTCGAAACCTCAAGAATGCCCCTCCTCATACATGTTTCCATTGTAATTGGGAGGGAAAATGATACTTGATATGAAGGGGTGCTCGGTCGGGGAGGCTGTGAATCGGCTTGCAATCCCATGGGCAATGTACGGCGGTGGACTGCTCACTTTGGGTGGAACCGAGCTTCAGCTTTGTACTTTGCATCTCTTGTCATTGTTAGTATTGCGAATCTGCACTGACTGACATCCCCGGCAAAGAAGGTGCTTTAGATCTCGGAACAGCCATTTCATTCAGGGGTCGAGGAGCAGAATTGGGCAGAAGTGCTCAGTTCCCCAAAGCAAATGCGCCAATAGTGACTGCGGATTGGTTGACCTGGCGGAATATAGAACAGGGTGTTCTCCCGACGCCCGAAAAGTCATCACTTCTAAAATGGGACACCCCCCCCCGTTATTCAGCCAGGTTTTTGCAGAAACCAGGAGCAACCGGAGTTGATTAGATTTTCTTTTAACCCCCATTTGCAGTTGTTGACTTCTTGATAGACCTCCCAGTGGACTCACCTCCAGCTGTTTTCACAGTTGCTTCCAGATCTTGCAGTAAGAGAAGTTGTTGCTTCAGAAAAATGCAGCTGTATTCCATGCGTTGTAGATCTTTGGGCAATCTTGACATCTCTTGTCGTACAGCTTTAATTACCACCCACCCCACCTCCTGCATTTTGGTTGATTTTAGATTCCCCAAAGTGTTTGGCCTGCGTTTGGGGGGAAAGGGGTTCAAGACCCGAGCTTCATCCAGGAAGTCTGCAGTTTCCAGATCAGCCTTCGAGCTCTTCTTCCGGAACCTCCGCTCCCTGTCCAGGGAAAGAAAACCGCCTGGCAGTTCCAGTATGTCTACATAACTTTTCGGGCTTGCAGGAAACATCGAGTTCCTTAGTTCCTGGACTTTTAGACAATTTTTAGGAAAACTACCTTAGTTGTAAGCCAAAAGCTTAGACTTGTTTGGCCCATCCACTCAGAAAGGGAGAACAACCAAGAGATGTGGGATTGATTTTTTGGCGAAGGGGCTATGTAATAACCTTCAGATCTAGAGACAGTGAAGCTCAGCATTGCCCAGCCCGAGTTCCAATATAGCGGTAATTACATCGTTTAGGAGTTAACATCTTCAATTTGTGGTTCCTGATTGCCGGATCCCTTTTGACTCAGTGGTACTCTTGATCCGCCCACGTGTTTTGCCCGTCGGCCCTTTTGAGCTTCCTTTTGCCCACTCGACAAGCGCAAACTGCACTTTACTTTAATCCTTTTGGGAAGGCCATTTGAGCAACAAATTTGGACTTTTCTTGGCCAGTCCACTTCCTTGAAAGTGAGTCACTTGTCTTCAGCTGCAGGTAAGCTGGAGGTGGAGGAGATGCGCGCCAATGCCTGCTACAGCCTTAGCGAGGCTCCGGGGCTCCGGGGTTGGCCGCGAGATCTGAAGTGGGTTCACGAAATGGCCGGGATCAAACATATCGACGTCTGGTCATTTCCCAAAAGGGTTTACCTGGTAAACGGAACTTACGACTAAAACCTGCGGTTGCCTGGTGCTTAAGTTTTGACACATACTGTCACATACTCATGACTCACATCTGATTCTTGGGTGGGGGGAAAAGCGAATCAGGCAACCATTGATGATGTGGATTGGTGACCTGGTGGCTTGGGATTTGAACCCCTGGCTCTTGCCCATACACGGCCAGCCACCCCCTAACTTCCAAACCACCAAACCAGGCCATCAGAGGGAAGCTGAAAGGTTGCAGGGAAGACCTTTGCGTCAACTCTGCGACAAGAGTCCTGAACTTCTCAGTTGCTTGTGGCTGGACCTGAAACCGCCGAAAGGTCCGCGAAAAGGAGTATGTCCGAGGCTTTTCGTCAGAGGCAACGCGCCCCACTTCCTATCTTGGACCCGTCAAGCAAGGCCATTAGATGACCAGTTGATAAGGATCAATCTGCTGAGTTCTGGGGCGATGCCGTGTTTGAAGTGGGCATGCTTACTCAGTGCACCGACAGGCACTCCTTGAAGAGCCTCAGATGGGCCATGGAACTGCACAGTTGGAGTTGTGGAGCAAGCTTTGTGTTTAGCGGTGAGCCGACTACTGGCCTCGACGCTCAAGCAATTAGCCGTCACAAATCGGCAAGGCCGAACTATTTCAGGGTTGCTCAACAAGGAGATGCTGTGTCTTGGACCGTGTTGTGATCCTTGGAAAGGGATGCTAAACTGCACTAGGGTTCAACCTTGCGCCCCTTAGGACAAAACGTCTCCATTCACCTTGAAGGATCCGGTGTCAGGGCTTGCGAGAAAGCTTTTTCGCCTGCAAATTGCCTGTAGAAGTGCATGACGCACATTTTGGCGCAGGTGATGTCTCTCCGAGATTGCTTTAACAAGTTTGACAAGGACGGGCGTTGCGGGTCCGAAACTGGGAGCTGGTCATTGTCAAGGCCGGTCCAAACCTCAAAAGTGACCAGAGGTGGAAGCTTAGAAGCTTGGTAAAGGGCAAGCTTTTCTTCTCCTGGAGCCAACTGTTCTACCCCTGTGCCAGGGTGCTCCAAGGGGCTTGGAGCTGACAAATGCTGATATCTTCTGTTCTGGTGTGGCTGACGTGATTTAGTACGGGATTGCGAGCAAACCTCCGGACGCACAAGCTTGTCAGTCTTGTGAGCCTTTGGGTGAATGAAGCCCTGGATGAATGAAGCCCCCGGATGAATGAAGCCCTGGTTGACTAAATCTAGGGGATTTGAACCTCTAGTACTTGCAGAGGGTACAGGTGTTCCCCCCGATTTCTCCCCCATCCAAACTCAACTAAACCAGAGGCAAGCAAGCCAACCAGGACCGGA